GAGTAGCTGTAGCTCAAGCTGACTTGACTCTAAGAGTTCTACATCAAACGACGGTTGATTGACAAATGGTCCAGTGGGATTGTTTGCAAGGTACCTATGGCCACTCCAGCTGATGAGATCAAGAAATTGAGGAAATGGAATCCCATTTCTTTGTATTATGTTAAAAGACTGCTGGCTCTGACCTATCAATCCTATCATAGCTTAAATACGGAGGATCTAAATATTTTAATCTCTAAGGCAAAAACGAATTACAGCTTAAGAAATTCTCTAAATTTAGAAGCGCCAAGACCAAGATCTGAAATCGGCAGGTCTTCTCTTACACACAGGGCCGCCTTGCTATGGAATCTTCTTCCCCATCATGTCAAGGAATGTGCTAACTTAAGATTGTTTAAAATTAAGCTTAAGGCTAACAAGCATCTTCTTCATAGCATAAATTTTGCCAAAGGTTGCTGCTGTGTTTCAATGAAACACGATGACTTTGTGTATTTTTAATTGTTTTGTATTTAACTTATCTAATTAGAATTGTATTTAAGAAGTAATTTCACTGTTTTTCCAATTTTTATTTTATATTTTATTGTGATTGTGTTATTTGTAGTTAGGCAGGTCCACATTAGGACTTTGGTCTTGCCAATCTTTCTAACCTGCATTGTTAAATAAAGATGTATGTGTGTATGTATGTACCTAAGGCTCCTTTTATAGCGCGCCTTCGTGTTTAAGTGTTAAACCTCCATTCCCCGTGAGTAACCGCTTAATACAGGTCCGACTGAAAGCATGCGTGAATTTTGTTACCGCAAAGCGATAGACACATTGGACCTGCAATGAGTTGGCGACAACCAGCCTCGATATCTCAAACTAAAAATTATCTAGTTGTAATTCCAAATTAACTGCAGCGCTTTGGGGGAAAATCGAAGAATTTTCTTATGCGTATTCCATGGCATTTTAAGTGTGCTTTTTCTCGGTTTCATATCAGTGAGAAGCGTTTATTTAATGTTCACTTTTAACACGCATCCACGCACATATGCAACAGTTGTAAATTAACTAATAGCAGAACTAAAATCCAGTAATAACCGTACTAATTCTTTGTCTTACCTTAGCCGTCAACTGATTATATTTCTCTCAAAGCTTATTGCGGAACTATGCTATAACAAATAAAATCTGCTCAGAAGTATCTAAGTAAACAATGTCGAAAGGGCAATTATAAGCGAAGAAAGTAATTTTAAAAACGAAAACAAGTTGTCTTATTTTAAGGATATCTATTCCACTAACCAACCTAGCGTGAGGACCGTACTTTGGAATAATGGCCCGAGGACCAATATGTATGGTACGAAAACAAATTGTGATATAAAGAATCATGACGTACTTCTGAAGTTCATAAATACACCCCTTCCCCCTCAAATTATTATGTATCACTATGATAACAAGAGCGAAAACAATTACAAGTAAATTGTAAGACTGTTCTAATGTTCTTGTTAAGATAAAAATGTTTGCTAACTAAATCCTCTATAAAATATTCCTTCTCTTAGCTACTCTGGAGACTGTATAACCTATTATCTTTGAGTTTTTCTTTAATCGATGCTTTTCAAACAACGTTTAGAACGACAATGCAACGTCTGCTCAGCGGTGACCCTAAATTTGCACGTCGCCCATTTCAAGTTACAAGTTTATTCTCAGAACCCTCCTGCACAGACGCGCGTTAAAAGCAAAAGCTCGTATGGAGAAAAGAAGCCTAATAGCAGAAAATTAGGTTGATCCAATATAAGGCGTTCTTCCTACGATTTTTCCTTGACAGGCCAGGGTTGGTCAATCAGTAAAGTTTTGGAATAAGTTAATAAAGGATACCAAACAATAGTATGCTTCTGTAGATTCCTTACTCTCATTATCACTAACACGATGAATATCACTGCTCTCAAATATGTCGAGGATTGTGACAAACATGGTGAATCGCAGAAAAGAAATTGAATAAATGGTATGAACAAATCGGTCTGGAATATCTGTAATAATGGTGCAGCAATGTTGTCCTGAAAGTAGAGGCTTATTTTTTTTCTTAGCACCCACCAATATGAGGCTTGTACTCAAATTGGTTCATACGATGACATCAATATCCATTCCAATCCTCAGGTTGGGATTTTCCTCACTCCATCACTTTCTCGGAGAATGATACGAGCCTCTTGATGCACGTGGTGGTGCACCCATTGTCCTTATGTGGGGCGCCTGAACAACTGCTCCAGGAAACCTTGGAGCCGCTGTTGGACGGAACTGAGACTGCAGTGCCATTGCGTGAGCACCGAAAGGGACGGTGGGATGGGGGTGAACAGCCATAGGCTGGGCTGCCACAACTTGAGGTCGAGGATACGGTGCAGCGATGGTATGTCGGGAGTGCGCGGAAGGAATGGGAACAGGAATTGGCATGGAGGGGGTGTGGGTAGCGTACACTTGTTGCATAGCAGTGTACTGTGCACCCTGCCACTGACCAGTGGCAGCGTGGGGATCGCCTTGGGCGGGTCCAGAAGGCTTGCCACGTCTACTCGTGTTGTTTGTAGATCTCGGGGTTCGTCCGTTCCCGCCAGATTGGTCAGCGTCCCATAGCATGCAGAGCTCTTCGCCTATTTTAGGTTCCAGCTCCTGCAGAAGATTAGCATGTCTATGATTCTTGGATCTCCAATTTGGAACAATTCAGCCGTAGGCTATAAGTTTAGACTTTTAATTCAAATCGCATGAATTAAAAATGCCTTGAAAGGAATAGAGCCAAGAACACCTTGAAAACTACCAAAGTCCTTATGCTAGAGATAAGGAAATCTTGGTTTTCCAACCCCTATTCGTAGAGGAAATTCTAACCTTGTCATATCTCTTTTCAAGAGAATAACTTCTACATAGGGACACTAGTGACTTGTGTTTACCTGTCCATCCCGACTAATCTGAACCTTTTTGTGATCATTCCACGGGTTGACAAGGTGGTGAGCTTGTTGGAATGGAATACTGGCTCTGTGGAATAACGGGAAAACGGAATGTGATTACACTTGAAAAAGGAATAGAAATCAAGACCAATAAAAGATAGGGTATGACTCATGAGGTTGATACATTTTGAATTCAAATTTTCCTGTACCAGTTTTATTAGTGGAACTGCTAAACTCATCAAAAATAAAAACCTTTAGGCAAACTGTCTGGACTGAGATTTACCAGTTATGGATGAGAAGTAAAATGAATATAAAGAAAATATCTGATCAAAATTACATATCTAGTGCATACTTTTTCATCCATTCGACACTAAACACACCGCTCAGCGAACTTGAACCGAACTCTGGGGACTTGTCTTTGCCAATGGGTGACGTCATCTGTGCGTAACCTGAAACAGATGTGGGACATGAACCTCGTCAGAATATCGAGAACTTTCTTCTTAGCTTACTTAGAATTCTAAAAAGGATAGCTTTTAGTCCAAACAAGACAGGATGACAGCTAGAGACTGAACCCTTCATATGACATCCTTCATGCAAATAACAGCCCAGCTCAAGTTATTTTTAGACTCAAGACATCTGGTCTCGTAAAGGATAACATTACTTAATCCTTGTGTGCCCTCTCTTAGATGAATCAATTACCTTGAAAGTGGCCACTTCCTTGCACTGAGAAGACCAGCATAACATGCTTGGATTCCTATAAACAAAATCAGTTTAGTATGGACACTGATTACGGGATACAACATAAACTTAGTAACCGTAAAACACACTCAAAAGTCTCTACGAATCAAATTCCACTTGAAGAATCTTAAATCAATTAATTGCGGCTACAAATCGTTCTGTTCCCCAGCCTCAAATGTTTTCTGACCAAAACATTTTTTCTCATTTTATTGTCGCCTGCGTTGCTAATGGTTTTGCGTGTGTCTTACAGTTGCGCACGCACATGATGATGATCGGCAAACCCTCTCCTGTCTAAAGACCTCTCGCGGTTTCGCCTCTCATAGTTTAACCGCGCACAAAACCGCCAGGTGCGCTCACTAATTTGATACTAAATTTTACCTTGAAAGCTTTGTTCAGTTTCTTTTCATTGGCCAATGTTGTTGCCCAGATGCCCTTAGAAGGAAACACAATAAAGATCTAAGTCACACCTTTAAAACATTCTACATCACATATCCACAGCCCCATGTTTTCCTTGTATACTAAGGCATTGAATCTATACGCAAACATCAGCAGTTACCTTAGCCATCGATATATCCAAATTTCTCTGGTTGTTGCACTTCATGATAAAGTATCGAGCTGAAAAAAGAAAAGAGAAAGGTGACCGGTGTCTTAATCGTTAAAGTACTTTAGAGTGTTTTATCGACGATTCAGGTCTTTGAATGAGTATCAGCAGTTTCTCCGAGCTTTGTCACTGTCTGCTGCTTTTCCATTCTTATCTTGTAAACTTTTGTTTCCTTTGTGGTATTTTGTACTGGGCTCCACTGAGTCGTAAACTTGAAAACGTGTCCCAGTTAGAAAAGTGGTCAGTGCTGTATTTATTCATTCATTTCTTATTGGTATTATTATTATTATTTTCTTTTTTTTATATTTATAACTATTGATACTCACCTTCACTTGATTTCTCAGACTGCTGAGAAGCCCTTGGGGACCAACTATCATTTGAAACTTTGTTTCCGCTCTGTTTAAAAATAAAAACCACGGTTATATCGATAACATTACTAACACCAAAATCTTCATACCATATAAGCTTTATATCCACAAGGGTCTTCTGTCATACTTGTTAGCAGTAGGGCACGACAACTTAATTTTGTTTGCAAACCTGTAAACGACATTTTGGAAGCAAAACATACCAGTGAGGAGGACGGTATCTCACTTTTTACGCGTGGACTTGATCCTGCAGGAAAAAAGAAAAAAGCAATATGAATTCTACGAGCAAAAACATTTTCATTCACATTGAGGACAGAGATCTACTTATTCTGACGATGTCTTGGTTACATTGAACATTCCTATGAAAACATCACTTCACTACCTCTGATGGAAATTTAATGATTTCAACATCAACTCACCAGAGGAATCACGTGGGCGATCTCTGGACGGGGAGAACTGCTCACCCGAGCGAGGCCTGTAAATGTAAAGAAATTATGATTCTCTATTTGTGGCCATGCGCACTGAAAACTTAGCTTTTAGGCATCTTATAAACACAACTCCGAGACCCGCGCCTACATAAAAACATAAAATAATTGGCTGTTAAAAAATTATCTGGCTGCAACTTTAATACATGAGTATTATGATTCAACCACGAAGAAAAAAGTCACAAAATACCTTGGGGATCTTGAGTCAGATCCACTTTCAAATCCTGAAACGAAATTCCCCCTCAAGTTAGATTGAAAATGTGACAATGGGAGAACTAATGTGACTACAAGCTACCATTATGATCAAATTGATAATAAAGACATTTAAGGCAAGTGGGTTTGGGGTGAGCTGAGTTATTTAAGAAATTTCAAAACTTTTTGTTTCGAAGAAAAAAAATCATGTGATCCAAACGATCCGAAGTGTATACATCGATTTCAATAAAATGGCTGCCCCTCAGCCGAAGAATGGGGCAAGCACTGAAACAAGGCATTTTAGGACTCGGCGGGCCTTGCAGATAAGGCTTCGCGGTCAAACATACACTGTTGTGTTCCTCATTCATTGTACTCAAAAAGGAACTACTAGGCCCAACGGAGAAAAAGTTGGTTTCTTTAGCTTCCCAAAAGAAGCGTCACTTAAAAAGCGCGCAAAAAAACAAATAGCTAAGTCACATTTGATTCTGGATTTGCCTCTTACTGGTTGATAGACTGGTGCAAGTTTCCAAGCTAATCATAGGGCACGGTGGAAAAAATCCAAGACAATTCCAAATCAGTTTAGACACGTAATTGTAAACCATTCTATTTCTTTCAAGGGGAGGAGTTCAATCACCTGGTCGTGTTCGTCTTTGACGAGGATGCAGTGAAGGATTCATGGCTTGTTCTTCAGCTGTTAAAACTGCAGCTACTGCACGGACAACCATCTTTGTACCAAACAAACAAACAAAACATTAAAAAAAAAAATTACAGACTTTGAAAACAAAGCTCAAAGTAAAGATTGCAGTACTTACAAAGCATTTATTTATAAGTGAAAGATACAAACGCAGGCATAGATAACTGAGGTTTTGTCGCATACCTCGTCCACTTGTGACCATGGTCTGGAAGGTGAACGAATCCTTCGAATAAACAGCGCTTGTAACTTGTGATGCAAATATGAAACGTGGTTTACAACCTTAAGGAAAAAATCCCTCGTTACTAGGAACATACTAGATAGTCTCAGAGGAATTAAAGTAACAAGTAGAAGCAAGTGAAGTTCAAAGAAGAAAACACAATTGCATTGAGATAGAGAACAAGTTTGAGCAGTATTGTCAAATTGCTGTTTTCTTCACATCCTAACCACGCCTATTCCACAGATGGTTGACAAAAACATTCCTTCTCGGTTTAGAATTAAACATTAAGTCATATGACTTCTACACGACTACATTCAAATCGAAGAAATTTAGACAGCGGTCAATTTGTTTTCGTTAAATTTTCTGGGCGCCAATGCAAGGTAAGATTAAAAGAGATGAGGGAAGTTTTTTTTTAAAAAAAACATCGCAATAGCTACCTCTTGACTAGCAGACAGCGCAATCCACTCATCCACGTTAAACAGAGCACTATTTTTTTCTTTCCTTCCTGATGTTTCCTCTGTTTCGCTATCACTGCTTTCACTCTCTTGCACTCGTCCATCTCCAAGGTACCTCTCACTGTCACGTGCAGCAGAGGGGTCCTGGGTAACATGCTCGGAAGACAGGCTTGGTCCAGTAAAGAGTGCTATTGTTACAGGGGACACCAGTGTGCAGCATTTAACGGTCACTGTTGTGTACAACCTGCACAAGAATACATAGTAAATGAGACGTGTTTCGACGCGAATTAGTGAAAGTAAAGCCTTTGTGACAAAGTTGTTGCGAAAGAGAAACTGAATTACATACGAAACTAGTCTTGTCTTAGAAATGTTTTCAACAGGTCTAACCGCACGACGAAAAAAATATCACGGTTAAGTAATTATATAGGAGAACTAAGGCCTAAAGAGACATGTGAGAAAACGAAAGAAAATCTAATTTTTTTTGTGTGATTTTCCGGAGTATTACAGCCATTCGACATGATTTGGGTCCATATTTCTGAGCTTGTCAAAATATAATTGCTGAATGGAACTGCCTGTTAGTAACACCGATCAACTAGCTTAAAATAACAATGATAAAAAACAAACAAACATTAATAAAAAAACAAACAAACAAACAAACCTTGACATTTCTTCGTAAATTATCCAATCAGAGGGAAGTTTGTTGATGGCCTTAGTTTGAGCGGTGAACATGGAGTCTCCGTTTGTTGGAGACTGGTACAATATGGAGGAATTGTGAAATCGAACTTTACTCTCTTTCCTGCAACATCAATAACACACCTTTGTACAATAATTTATTGGATGAACTCGCTCATGGCTGGGCGAAGAAATGTTTCCAACTACTAAAGGCTACAAAATAAAACAGTCATTAGCACAGTCTAACAATGTTTGTTCTTACTGTGTTGTGAGTTTTTTTGCGCTTCTATCCACCCGGGCCACCTGCGGAAATGTTCCAGCACAGAGGGCCGCCTATTTACAAATAATAAAATTAATTTAATTAATTCTATTTAATGGTATGCAAAAAAGAAGAAGACATTACAATTGAAGGCCTAACTAAGAATAGTCTCTCTTCGCTTTAAGACTGAAATGGCAGAGTTCTTTGGATTACAGCAGTTAGGTATGACGGGAGCAATTGCGAGAGTGTTCGTGTGGTTCTTTGTACAAGAAAACAACAACCAGGACGGGGAGAAAAAAAACAGTTATGGCGGATAGTAGAGACGTGGGCCACGACGAAGGCTATGAATTCTAACATCACAAATATGATGTGACAGTGACGAGGGTGAAAACGATGACAGTAAAACAAAGTGAGTCCATGATAGCAACCACGGATGTGCGACAATTATTTGGACCTTTATCCAGCAGTAGCATACCTTGACAACAGCCCAGTTGTTTGAGTTGGAATTCAAGTCCCTGATGTCTCCTGCTCCACGAGGGCGAATAAAACCGGCAAATTTCAATTGTCCAAGAACCTGTGCTCTAAAATGACAACGAGTAAATCAGAAATGTCGTAAGATTAATTACATTCCACAACACATGGCGAGGGTCGTGACCACCACTTCGATAATTTCAACAGCATCTTCATTCAAAATGCATGTAAAGTTCCAAGGTTAACTTGCAATGGAATAACTTCCTGAGATTTTCAACCCTTAATTAGAAAACGGCCTTTACCTCATACCAGCCATAATTTCCAAGGTAGCTTGAGACAAGTAGTTCCTCCGACAGAATTTTATGTCGTCACCTTCAGATCGAGCTCGTTGCCAGCCCTGCAAGAAAAAAAGCAAACTGTATGTAACAATGGCTGGGGCAAGTAAAGCACCAATGAGGAATCCTACACTGACAGAATAATCACAATTTCGCACAGTTTGCTTGGCGGGGCCTTGTTAAATCTTGCCTAATTTGAGCCATCGTGAAGTGAACTTGATGAGTGTTTGTTCATCACTCTTGCTTCCAATTACGATTAAGATTCTTCAGTAATTCTTTGTTTCAAAGATCAACTTTGATTGTAATTGATACGCTTCTGTATCTGTCCAAATTATATCCCACATTTTTTCATTTTTGTTACGTTCCAACCCAACATCATAAGTAGCAAGAACTCACTCTGAACGCTTGCACAAACACCAAGTGATCGCTGAATGGATCTAAGACGAATCTTTTCCTGGCTGTAGCTGCTGCTTTCTTTTCTGACGGGTACATGGGAAGGATGACTGAAAACAACACAGAACAAGCACAAGGCTTTGAAAAGTTCCATCTAGAGTCTACCTTGATTATATCCTTCATTTGAGTTACGAAGTGAGTCATATGTTTGCTATGAACATGACGAACTGAATATCGTTATCCTGTCAAGGGGCGTAAGTAGTATCTGTCAGTAAGCACCACACCGTCAGAAAGGTTTATCATCACATTTTCGGACAAGAAGGGGGTAAAACTGTGCTCTCGAAGCCCCACTCCTCTCAACTGCACCCAATCAAAATTGATAAAAAAGTTAGTAGTCAGTAAATGTCAAATGGGTCATCCAAACTAACAACGAGAATGACCAGTCATCTGTAACTTTCAATTGACTTTTGTGTCAAATGTTTGAAATTTCCCGTTCAATTTCTTATTATGGGAAACATAGCGACGGTTTAACGATCCAGGGAGAGTTTTAAAGTGTAGGTCTTCTAAGTCATTCAAAAAATGCATCAGTCTCTGGTCTTTTACTTACAAGGATCCCTGTAGGCAAGGGCACAGGCGATGGTCACCACTGGATCCACACACTTCAGCACAACTGAATACAGGATCATCTTCCCCAGCTGTGGACTGAGGGGTAGGTCAGCAAGGTGACGACCTATGAGAGGTGACACAAAATCACACAGTTATCACAAAGAGTCACACAGTTATTACAAAAGATTGTATGACTATAACATCGAATCACACGGTTATTTCACAGATGTGGCCAGTTTTTCACGAAGTAAAACATTTATTACGCCTGCTAAATAACAACTCAATTAACAAACTGTACGAATGGGTTATGAAAGACTAAGATTCTGGTCAAATATCGTCGGGCAATTTTAAGCAGGAGAAAAGGAAAGCACGACAATAAATGCAAGATTTCCAACTAAAGGAAAATTTCATTTGAGTGTCAAATGTAGTCCTTGGTCTTTGAGCGGTCCAAAAAAAAAAACGCTCTTATCTCTCAACCAATCAGACTCAAAACCAAAACCAATTGTGACTTAGTCACGCGCGTCTTCCATGCTTCAGGAAGTTTGCATGTTTTTACTCTGAGGTTTCCTTTCGAACAGTTCTGTCAAACAAGCAATGGATTTACCGAGGTCAGTCAAGTCTTCCCATTGATCCAAAGCGTCTATAGTCTGCATCAAAAGTAAATAAAACCAGAGCGTTAATAACAGCTACTTATGCGAGGGTCGAAGCGGTGAGGAAAAAAAAAGAAAGACAAGTAACAAATGCGGACAAAAACCTAACAGTAAGTATTTCACTGGGGTGAAATTACGACCAAATGGGTTAAACATAACAGACACACAAAATCAGTGAAGGATAAGCGACAGATTATGTGAACAGAAACAGCCAAAAGGGTGTGGCAACAATTCTATTGGTGTCAACACCAACCTTAAGAAGGGCAACAGCATTTCTAAGAACCAAAGCAGGGGGAGCCTCGGGAGCTTTAGACAAGAAATCACTTATTGATGTGTTTGGTGATGCTAACAGTTTTGTGTGAAGACATAATTCCTGCAAAAAGGAAAAAAAGTAACACAATTGAAGCTCCACCCAGGCATCGTAACTGCGTTGTTCAGGACTCAGGTTACAACAGGTGTCACGTTATACCCCCACCCCCTCTCCCCTTCGTAATAGCCACCTCTCTCGAAACGGTTACTTTTCTTTGTCTCCAAAGGAACTTACTTCAGGGAAGACAATCGACTAGTTTAAGTAAATAAAAACTTCATTTACGCGATTGTTCTTTGATTGGAAAAAGTTCAAGTTAATAAAAACGAAAATTCCTGAATCCTACCTGCAGAGGTATTCTTAATAATTCTGGGATCTGGTATTCTAAGAAGCTATCATGTCGAACTCGGCTGAACAAATGGTAACAAATACCAGGGGAACATCTCCCAGCCCTGACGCAGAAAAAATTCAGTAGATGAAGGTTTAGTCGTATGTCGATGGTAAACAAAGAATGCTGTAAATATACTTAACTATGACCACAATAAAAATAGGGAGTTTAAGCAAACCACGACGGCGACGGCAACGAGAACGTGGAAAAACAATAGATCTAATTGGCCGAACAATAGCCCAGCACGTGCGTTTTAAAACTTTGTACATTTCTTAGCCGTCCTTTGCAAAACAACAACGTGAAATCACCAAAATTTGCGTCGTCTGCGAACCGAAACCGCGGCGGCAAATTAATTTGATTTACATTTGGAACCCAACGCTACTTTTATGCCTTATGTTGAGTTTGAGGTCTGGTGCCCTATGAGACGGTAAACACGTGCAGCCATTTTCGAAATTCTAACCAAAAGTAGAAACTCATTTTTTAATCGACGTCTTCCGTGGCGTTGCCGTCGTGATTGCTTAAGTTCCTTAATATTTTATCACAGAAAACTCGACATTGAAACTACAAGAAACATACTTGAATACTTACTCACACTTTCACCAGAACCATGCAATAACTGTCACCCACAATGTTTTTCATATATCATTCTGATAGTTTTCAACATCGCGGTTGCTAAGTGCAAGAACTTATTTTAGCAAATAGACCGCTCCTTCTATCGGTTTGACGGCGCAATAAACCTTCGCTGGATGTCCGGAGAACACGAATGAAAAGTTTGCTTTTATAAAATAAACTTAAAATGTTTCAATTTTCTACGGGTTTACCGGTGGAATGAACGATAGGTTTTTGATCAATTATGGCGCTCGTATTATCTAAGTTATATCATCAAAACATATAGATCACCTTCCCTTCCTCTGAATTGCACTTGCTTTGGACACCCATACCGATTGAAGTGAAGAAACTGATGTCAGTGCATCAAAAGATTTCTAAAGAATCAGAAAGGTTGATCAAACATTTCGCATCTCCTTAATTAAAACTGTATCGCAATTAGCACAGAAATCTAAATTTACAGCGTAAACCCAAATAATCATCATTATACCACGAATCAAATGAATAAGGTTTCAGTTGAAAGTGTTCAGGACACCGGCCGGGAATAACATTATTATCTCTGGCGCAAAGATTTGCGGCGTGCCAAAGGGAAGGGTATTTCTTCTTTGAATCGCTTTGGTGGCACTGCAGGAAGAAGTAATTTATCACCAACCTCTTTCACCTTTCCACTGTCAATCACAAACACAACATCATCGATGGTGACACTGGTCTCTGCTATATTTGTTGAAAGAATCTGTGTGGAAACAAAATCGCGCATCAAGAGCTTAATAACTGTTAAATATTTTTAATACCCAGAAACATAACTGATGAAATCGTAGGTATGTATATGCGTACATGTAATATATTGTTCTTCGAACTAAGGAAAATCTAGCATAAACATTTAAACTAGTTAAAAACTTACAATCTTTCTCGTAGATTGATGCAGTTTTCTGAAAACCTTAAATAGACAAAAGATATGATTTAGTCTTGTGACAATTGAAGCATTCTAAACTTATCAAGGACTTTTGAAAAAGTTAAACAAGAAGTACGGCTCCCTTCCTTTACCTCTCTTTGTTCTGAGGGTTGCATGGAAGAATGTAGGATATAAATCTGATACCTGAGAACAAGAGAGAATAATAGATATATACATGTAGGGGCGAATCTGGGGCACTGTTAGAGAATGTTTAATGAGTAAGGGTTAAACAAACAACAAAAGGTTAATCAAGGACTACCTTCAGATATTTCCAAATTCCCTATCAGCTGTCAAATTGTCACGGAGAGTGATAATTTCATCATAACCAGGAAGGAATACCAATATGGAACCTGTGTAGGTATAATAATGTAATTTACTTCTGGTGGGGCAGAAACAAATTAATTTTAACATCTGCTAGATATGCAACTGTGACTTTGAAAGAGAACAAGGATACACACATTCTCTCTGTTTTTGGATGTACCATAAAAGAAATAGTGACTTAATTAGTGTACTCCAACTGGCATGGAGAAACCTAACATAATAAATAAATTGAATTGGGTAGGTGGTTTTCTTGATTTTACAGGCATGAGAGTCCAGTCTTTGAGAATCCAGTCCACATCTGCTTCACTGTATTGTGTCCTCAGGCAAGACAGTTTACAGTTAACCGCTGCCTGGTTAGCTCAACAACCACCGCCTGGTTAGCTCAATTGGGAGAGCACGNTATTTAAAGTTGAACTAACCTTCTTGCTGGGTGTTGCAGATATGTGTCAGTAAACACGTGATTAAGTCAAGGTCAACCTGTGAAAGAAACGGAGATTTTTACCAAGGATGCTTCTGCACATTGGAAACAATAATGAAGCAGATTGGTAATGTTGGTCAAGAGGAAGGCAGAAGAACCAGCTACAGAATGACTTCCCTTGTACAACATTTGACTTCATACTTATTGTCTTCTATGGCAGATTCCTCATTTCAATCAGAAACCTGAAATTACAACCTATCAACCATTGCAGCTAACTCTAAAGTTTGATTTAGACTTAACTCTTTAGAAAAAGCATTCTTTTTAAATAATAATATTAATTACAGGTGCATTTTCCTTGAATGCCTTACCCGATCATCATCAAATGTCTTGTGGTAAATACCAAGAAGTTCTTTGCTTTCTTCACTTAATTCCTTAGATTCCCTTTCTAAAGCTGTTTCTTCCACATATGGAACTTTAGGCGATGACCTAGGAAGATAATCATAAAAATCTCCCTTCAAGACATTGGCAGATGCTTGAGTGAAGACTGCCATCACCCTCAAATTAACTTGGAGGAAGGTAAGCTGTAGCTGTCAGAGCTCATTATGCTTTTACACCCTAACATCAGTATACATATTCTCCATACTGCTCTCTATACATTTCCCAAGCTGTTGACAGGGAGAATTTGTTTAACAATTAAGAGCTTCAATCTCTAGTTGGTGAGCATTTCCTTTCTTCTCATAAGTTCAATGTGTGATTCAGGGAAGGGGGGTGATACTGTCACTCTTAGGGGTCGAAAGGGTAAACATGACAAGATGCCTACCTTACTTCATGAATACCTTTCCTAAGTCTTAACTAACCGTCCACAAGCTTATCACACCCTCTAAATTGTCTTTTTAGTAAGTCTACTGGACAAGCAGTCTACAGGGAAATTCAGAATTTAATTCAGGACCTGGGGTACACAATAGCTTGTGAAGCAAACTAATTAGAATCTTGCTTTACTCACAAAGACGATTCAAGAATTTTGACAACATCACTGTGTTCCCATTTCTTGGCCCAATCTATTGCAGTCCTGGGGGAGAGAAAATTGCAGATATAAATTCCTTGCATGATCTAATTCAGCTACAAGACCTTCAACATATTTGATGATAGAGCAAAGACAGACAATTTTCCTCACCAGCCCTTCTTGGGTTCTTTGATGTGAGGATTGGCTCCTAAACCCAGCAACTGTTCAACCACACCCGCACAGCCTCGACCTGATGCTACCATCAGGGCAGTGGCCTGAGTGTCTGAGTGTTGATAGTCAACTGTGCAAGAAGAGAAGCAAAGGTCCTTCAATTGTCCTCTAAATAAAGCTTTTATGATCATTAGAGAGGAGAGGTGATATCTTAATAATCACTGTGGAATCCTGTTTAAACCCTGGCCAGCTCATTGTGTTTTGGATGAGATCTTCACCTCTCACAGGGTGGATTTCAACTAGGGAAGGGGAAGGGAACTGCATTGAATTAGCATCCCAGTACTCCTCGTTGCTATAGACCACTTTCATAAATGGCTGCAGGATTAATATTCTTTTGTCTAAATTTAAATTAGCCCTTCTGGCCTCTTTCTCCAGTACAAAATTCAAAAGAATACATTATCTCAAGCGAGGCCAGAGAGGGCTAATTTAAATTTACACAAAAGAATATTAATCCGGCAGCCATTTATGAAAGTGGTCTATAGGTCATTAAAATTGGGATAAACCCAAGCTGAATGAGCCATGTTACACTGATACAAGACAGAGCAGGTAGTTACTAAATCTGTTCAAGGCTTACAGGTGAGAGAAAGTCTACAGATTGGACAAATGTTATGGGCATGACAAACTGGACAGGATTCAGTCATACGTCACAAGGTGACCCATGTCTGCTCTTTAGGTCAGTGTTCTCCTTTTCAGGTAGTAACTACTACATGTATACTGCCTGTAGCACCTCTTTATTACAGCCTAAAAATCATTTGGAATTCTTGAAAGTTCAACAGGCGAAAAGATTACCCTAGCAGTTTGAAGATTTCTTTTGCCTGTACAGCATATTCTGTATGTCAAAACTGTGATCTAGGAGGAATGTTACATTTTTCCAACAACTTACCGCTGATGTTTTCATGCATGATCAAGTAAAGAATCTGGACAAATGAGTCCTCATCACCCTATTAAGACAGAAGTGCAGGTTACCCATGGCTAATTTCTTTTTGGTTCTTGCTTGATTTGAAGTTTAAATCTCATCTTAAAGAGTAAACAGACATCAAGCTTTCACAGATACACATACAATCTATTTACACTTACATTTAGCCATGCCTGTGAAATACTGTCATCCATTTCTTGCCTTAAATACTGTTCCTCACTGTCACTCTCCTTGGGTGATAAAAATGTATGTAATTATAACTTATATAAATCTAAAGATGGAATCAAAAGGTTTTTTGGAAGTGTAACAAGCAAATTGAGCCTACCTCATCTTGGTTATCATTTTCATCATTTGCCAGACCTTGCAAGGCATTATCACAATTATCCTCTTGTAGTTTGATTTCTTCCACAGCTTCATCCAACTCTTTTATATCTCCATCATCAACTTTATCCTCAATCTCCTCAATATCTACATCATCTCCCTCCTCGTCATCTTCATCATCATTTGCTTCATTTACACCTTCCTCTTCTTCCAGTAAGATGCCCTCTTCCATGTCTCCATCACCAAGTTCTTCATCAAGCTGGAATTCAGGAAGATAGTCTTTGTCCCGAGAATCTTTGTCTAGTTTTTGAACAGAATCATCTTCAAGTTCCACATCTGACAAGGGAAGTATGTGTTTATACATTTTCAAGTAAACTAGTAAGAATTATTCATTAAATCACTGTAAGTTGTACAGCTAACATAATTTATTCGGGTTTTTCTTGTTGCCATGTTCCCACCAATCATGTAGCTCCATTTTCTGCCTTTAAAAGCACACACAACCCACAATTCCTCTATTTGCTTCAACAAAGAGCTAATGCTCAAAACGTCAGCTTTTATAATCGTAACGGTGGCCAATTTACCATTTCAACTTTGTTGATATATTGAAATTAATTCATTACCCCCACCGATGCAGCCCCAAAAAGTTTCTTTAGAGACTATCAGCCTTTTAACATAATTATGATTAGCACAAGGAGATAAATGTACAACGAGTTGTTAATATCTGCCTATATAATATTAGTATAATTTCAGAGCTGAGCAAAGAGTTTCCAGCAATCTGATAGGTCAAGGGGTTCCTTACATGATGCTATATAAACTGCTCCATGCGGTTTATATAAAATGTTAAAACAAAATGTTAATAAATGTTACTAAAATATTATGATTCTAGAGATTTCTCTCTTGTTCTACTAAAACAATTATTCGCCTCAGGTTCGGTGAATATTGTTGAATAATCCCCTTGACTTCGTCTCGGGGATTATTCGACGATATTCACCTCGCCTTCAGTGAATAATTGTTAAATATAAGCTGCTAAATTTTTCAAAAGAATTACCACCAACCTTCTAATGGCTGCAGTTCTTCACCAAACATCCCTTCTGCCTCTATGTCAGCACAAATAGGACCCAGCTCTTCTGTGCTGACATTAGTTTCACCTTCAGTCTCATTATCTTTGTGAGAACCCTCAACTTCCTCATCATTTACTGCATTTGAAATTTCCTGCTTGGTAGGCAGGGACATGTTGCCATGCTTTTCTCCTGTAACATTTTTGATTTGGTTGTGCTTCAAATGTTTTGCCATTTCTTTGTTACAGTATGATGTCCTAGCAAGTTAGAGTGGTCAGTTATATTTTAAAATATTTGTACATAACCCTACCACAATGCATGTATGTGGAAATGTAACTAGGAAAAGTCTGTCTTGGAGAATATACTTCCAAAGAAAACAGCACTTACATTTTAAGAACATCTTCCAAGAAATATGCTTGAACATCAAAGCACCGACCAGGAACTGTGAAAAATAACATGGGTTGACTAAAGGCAATACTGTAGTACAGTTCCCCTTTGTTTATACTGCGACCCAAGAACCATTTACTGGCAGAGCAACAAAAGATTCACTAAAATAATGTAAGATAATGCATCCGCTCAGGACATTATTCATGAATATAAAAAAGAGATAAGTTCCCGAATAGTTTAGCAAGCTGAATTTCAAAGCTAGAGTTCTTCTGTTCAAATACAGTACTCTGTGAATTGTTTGAATCTATTTCCGTGGAAAAACCTGCCTCATTATTAAAATAATGACTCTTATTGTACAAAGGTACCACATACGAGTACATTACTCTAAACATAATAACAATATTGATTTTAATTCAAATTGTGACACTGATGGATAGTTACGACAAATGAAAATAAAAACAGAAGGATAATTTAGACAAGCCTACCACATAACTTATGGGCCACACAATCATTTTGTTCATGCAAATTACTTTCAATTGATATAACAGGTTAGAAAAAGCAAAAAATGATCAACCTGTTGGAGGATAGATTTAAGGCAACATAGGACAAGTAATTACACTTACCATGAATAACTGGACATTTTCCAAAGTAGTCAATAAACAAGTTGATATCTAAAGCAGCACTCATTAAAATTAACTTCAGTCTTCTGTTTACTGTTAAAAGGTCCCTCAAAGCTATTAGCAGGAAGTCTGAAAATCTATCTCGCTCATGAACCTCATCCTGATGAAATAAAATTTTATTAGTGTTCAGTATAATATAATAACCATACAAGTCTCAACTTTCTATTAACTATCATTCAAACTACAGCCTTTTAGGACCACAAGTATGTCTTGGTGTTGTGGGAGATGGTGGTGGGGGGTATCAATGCCACTGAAGGTTTTTCAGGGGAGGGGTGAGTTAGGGGGATAATGTAGTGGACTGCCTTTCGAGGATTTGAAATTTTAAGCCATTGGTATTTCTACTATTCCCTACCAAAGAATGAAATAGGTTCATATTTTTCAATTGATAAATTTGCTTAGATAAATAAAGATCAAATACTCAAATATTTCTTGTCATACCACTATGACATGGGTGATAAATGATAGTGAATTATCTCCAGACATCAAAGTCCGTAACAGCACACCAGTAGTACAATATGTTAACAAAGTCTTTGGAGATATTCTGCAAGATAAACAAGTGTACAAAAGATGACAAATGTTAATGTTGAACATTCAAATCTGACAACAAATCTAAGTTCTTACATGATGGACAGTTAAGCAATAAAAATCATTATAAAGAAAGAAAATTTAGGAGGGTTTATCTTACAGAATCTTATTAATAAATGATATAATTAAGAAGCTCAGACAACAACTACCGTAACAAAGAACTGCAACAACTACTAACAGTAACAAAGAACTACAACAACCATGATTATATTCCCTACTAGCTTAATACATATTCATTTTCATTAAAAAGCGAACAGTGCATGCATACAAAGTGTATCTCTTCACCTAAGAGATTAAAAGAGTCTTGATAAGCTGAAACAGTAACTAAACATGATATTCACAGTGTACATGATACCTTTTAATTTGAAATGCTTTAAATTCTGTGTGATTTACTTTCACAATACCTATTATCCAGCCTAATTTGGTAACCAACAGTCTGTCCAAGTCTTTCTCCTCTTTCATTAGCAACTCTTTCACTCACTGACAAAGCTGATATGCGTCGAGGCTGAGTGCAAACAACTCGGCAAGGAGTTGAATGAGCACAAGCCTCTTCCAGTATAAACTGTGGAACCTACAATTTAAGAGAAGCAAAATAAAATCATGGATAAGGATAACCCTGACTATCTGCATTTTTCCCTCAGTGAATTTTTTTTCAAAAAAAAAAAAAAATTAAAGAACATTTTAGGAGAAGAAGCTTTGTTCTCTGCTCCGCTTCAATCTGTTTTTAGTTGTAAAGTTTGAGTTCATTACCTGTGTTGTTTTTCCTGAACCTGTTTCACCAGATATAAGAACAACCTGTATGGACAATTCATGAGACAAAAATTATTCCTTTTCTTATAATATAACAATGTATAAAACCTTGGCAACAGCTTTCAATTGATATATTTCATGCTTTACAAAAATATATTGTGAAGACATACACACTGATTAAAAGAGTCATTCTTTCAGACAATTCCTTTAACTGAAAGTAAACAGTTTTAGTTTAAGTGTGGTACATTTTCATGAAAATCAGTACTAAACTTTAGACTTCACCTGGTTTTCAGATATAAGCTTCATGATCTGTTCCTGAAGCTCAAAAACTGGTAGAGACTTGCGGAATGAAAAGAAATCATTCTCTTTCACTACTGGTGGCACTGCAGCTGTGTTGTTGTTTAGTTTGCCAACAACTCTATTTTCTCTTCCAACACGTCCTTATGGAAAAAAATACACTTTAGATATTGAGTAATCAATTAAAACTAGCAAATGAATATAATTTATATAACAGCTCATAAGTATCCTCTACAGAGTGATTTGATTTAAAATTGTATAAAAAGTACCAATAACTAAAACAGCTGTAAGTGAGTGGAGAAGTACTTTTAAACAACTACCAAATCAGAAACCATTTACCAAAAAATTACACTAAAAACAAAAAATGCAGTTTGTGAAAAGCAAATTGATTATCCCCATTTCCATCTTTTTTTAAACTAGTCTGATTATTTCACATTCATTTTTTTCCTTTGTTTAAGTACTGTCTTAACATTTATCTACCTTGCAAAAAGAAACAACAAATTAAATTCATTTAAAAGAGAAAGTCAATTTTGAGTACAAAATATATTCTTCAATTAGGCCAAGGTAGAATACAAAGCCAGTGAACACATTTTGGAAAGATTTACAAACCTATATTTTTTGAGCATAAAATGAAAACCTGTTATTCCTGAGTAAGTCCTTTACAAGTAGAGACTACCAACCTGTATCAAAGGTAACTGTGGACCTTTCGGTTTTGGGCTGTAGTTCCTGTCTCTCTTTAATGTTCAAAGGATATTTCTTGAGTAAATGTTCAATATGATGTGAAGCACTGCTGGTGAGTTTCAAAACAGTGCTACAGGTTGCAGCACTAACCATTTTCTTTGACACTGTTAGAAATCTATTGCTTCCATTGCTGCAAAGAAATGAAAGTATTAAAGGAAAGGAAACAGACCAGTTAAAGCCTAGAAGAAAGAAGTGTTTGTTGACTATACTAGTGTTAAATGCTCAATGTTACCATGTATGCATTTAAAGGGAGTTTCATTTATTTGAAAATGATCACTCGAGAAATGAGACAGATCAGACGAGAGAATCCAACTAGAATCCAGCCTAAAAGAGAAGAGAACAAAGCTACTTAGATGAAAACTGACCCTAATTCTTTGACCCCAAAGAGTGACTGGCATCTAACTTCTCCTAACAATGTCATCTCTGAATGAAACTTCAATGGTCATGAGAACAAAGGAACTCATCATTAACTAAATAAGATCTTGATTGTTAAACAAAATCTACTTGTAAAGGGTAAAATTATTATCGTTATTATAATTCAAAATGAACAACTACAATAAAAGTAAACAATGCATAAAATGAAATAAAAAATTGAACATCTTACCCGTTGCTTTTTGATTTTAAACCCAAATTCTGACACAACCTGTGCACATAGGCTCTCTCCACTGATGTAAATGATGAAGGAAACTCCAGGACTTTATTAGGAAAAAATGAGATCATGAAGATTAAACCTTTGTAAACATTTTTCAATATGCCCTATCAAATAAGCGCTAATTGAACATTCTAAATTTAGACTGTGCTGTTTTTATTTGATGTGACAACATACAAAGATATAGTTATTAATAACAATTATTAAAATTAATAATGATATTTGGCTAATGTTTCAGGTTCCATATGGTTGCTTCCCATAATGAAACAAGCATAGAATAAAGCCACACTGTTGTGCTGATACAAAGTCGCATGACTTTCTGTGTTATAAAATTGCCGCCGATAGGCATCAGAGCACATAGACAATCCCTCGTCCCTTTGTCTGATTTACCTTGGCTTGTTTTTACATTGACAACCGGTGAAACAAAAACAGCCAGTCTGTTTGTAATGTCAAAATAGCATTTTAAACCTGTATGATAATTTCATTAGAAAAATGAAAATCCAAACGACCTTACTTAAGGAGTAACGTACTGATGTTTCTCCTATAAGGGCTAGCACTTACAAACGGAAAAATGCTGAAAAACTTGCTACTTTGGGATTACAGCTGCCTGCGTAAGCTTAATATTGATGAAACCTTTTCTTTGTATTGCAAATTGTTTCAAATATCTTAACTAGTACAATGGGCAATGATTAATTCATTTTAGAGAGGCACATCCTAATTTCCAAGAAAATCCAAATGGTTACCTTTTTGTTTCTCTTCAAATCGGAATCTATCAAGGGCAATTTTCACCGCGATCTTAAACTCTTCCTTCACACAAATTTCTCTCTGACCCCTTTTAGTCTTAGATGAACCAGTGGCAGCCATCTTTCTAATCTGCAGTTACACCAAGATTCAATGTACATAACGCACTTGTTAAATTTACACCGCTGATCTAGCGGTATCAGTACAAATTTCTTCCCGTATGAGCCCTCCCTGATGAGAAATTTGACCCACGTGGAGAGCATGGCGAACTGAGCAAAGAAAGATTTTCGAAGGTGTATTTTGTTTTGCGAAATCTTATCGCGAAACATTATATCCACCATAATGAAACGTAGAGTGCAGGCTACAGAAAACTCTTTAGCAGTTAATAATTTATCTAAAAAGGTAAGAAAGGACCCGAAAGAATGTATGTATATGTGAGTTGTAGTTGATGGTAAACAACAACACAGCTGAATGCACTTGTTACAACATCACGCTTGCACCATTTATCAGTTTTACCAACACCTGCTTCGTCTATGGAATGTCCATAGACAAGGTGGATCTCAGTGGTTACCCGTGAACCTGGCTGTTGCAAAAAGGAGAGCTGTGGCATATTATGGTCAGATGAGTTTGCAGATTTCAGATATCAGCTAATATACAAATCTTTTAATATATATTTAACGTTCATGAGAGCTCAGCTATTCTCTTTTCTGGGATACCCTCGTGATCAATGATTCTATGACTGCTCATTACGTTTTAGAAAGCTGTATTTGAAAATGGAGAAGAAAATAATTCCAAAACAACAAATTACAAAGACAGTCTGTACCGACCACCCACTAGCGAGGAAATCACTGCCCTCAAGGAAACTGAAAATCTTTTCAAGTCCAGTCTCTTCCGTATGCAGGTTTGTGCTTTACAATCAAGATTTTCCCTATTATATTTGAATTGGGAATACATTTTGGAATAGTAGGTTTTTCATCAAGTTGTAGCATCAGTCAAATGTTATCATCACCTGAACCAGCTCTTATCTGTGTCAGTACATCATATGGCCATCCAAAACCAACAGAAGAACTGGTGGGGTTTAACTCCCAGAATTGATTAACATGAAACTTCTTCTTCTACTATCCATTCATTATCCAGCACACGGGCAATGAGAGTACTCAAACTTATCAAAAAGAAGTCATTATCCTGATCTAACACTAAATTTTCATAGCTAATTTACAAGGAAATGTGTAGTAGCTAGAGGGGAGAATTAACAATCAGATCTTGGGAAATAAGGGGTGCAAGTTGGTTACTGTTAGTCTACCACTACTCACAGACTCATGAGGCTTTCTGCCTCTGTTTGGTGTTGTCAGGATTTTTGTAGATTTTTATGGCTTCTCTTTCAGAAACAGCCATCTATTGCAAATTCACCACCAGTTACCAGTACTAATTTGTTAAAAAAAGGTTACTGAAGCCTTTTGACTTGGATGATATATCAGTATATCTCCATAATTTTAGAACCTGTTTATCTATTTGTGGAATGAAATGATCTGCATGTGCAACATTATATTCTGTACAATAATCAATCTATACCAGCTATCAACAGTTCATCACAATCAATTATTTTTAAGATAACTGAACTTCTTGCTGAAGTGCAACCAAAGAAAGAGAGGAATAAAGCTCTTGATGAAGTCCTACATGAACTGAATACTCTTTTACTGTCATTACCTGATGAAGAGACAATACACGAGGTAAGTCTTTAAGCTGGAGTTTGAACAAAACTGCATTGGCAGGTCATTGAAACACTAACATGTACATGTATGAATTTCTGGTTAAAGACCAATTTAATTAACCTTTAACTCCCTTGAGTGACCAAGAGAGAATTTCTCCTTACTATATGAGTACAATATCAAGCAATCAAGTGATGAGAATAAAGAAAAAATATGAATTAGTTGATCGAATACTAAATTTGTTGAACCATCATAATAAGAGTTGTATGTTATAAGGGGGAATACTAATAAGATCTTTGGAAGGGGGGGGGGAGACTCAGTGGAGTAAATGGCACTTGACTCACCAATTTCAAACAAACTGTATGCTGCTATACATTGTACTTCTAATCAGCTCAATATTTTTCCTCATAGATTGAAGATCACTCATGGCTTCCCAAAGAAGTCAAATTTCCTCTTCCACCCAGTCTTTCACCTGTGAAAGGAAAGTTCTGCTTTAGAAGACCAGTGAGTGTGAAAGTTGTGGGGAGTTACCTTCTTGGTACAGTAACAAAACCAAACTTGAATGTGGATGTAGCTGTTGAAATGCCAAAGGTAACATACTTTTTAAATATTTTTAAACTGCTACTAACTAAAGAGAAACTCTTACTCTAAGGGGGAACCACTATCTTTGCTTGCAACTCTGATGCACATTTTTAACAAATTAATCATTTTGTTATATTTTAGGAGTGCTTTCAACATAAGGACCACCTAAATCTCCGATATCAACACAAGCGAGCTTTTTACCTGTCCATCATTGCATCACATTTAACGAACACCTCTCTATTTGAGAGTGTCCAGTTCAGTTATATGAGTGGAGAGGTATTAAGGCCAATCCTTGTGCTTAAACCAGAAGGTGAGGGTGCTGTACCTGAAAAGAAGGGTTGTTACAAGGGTTTCATTATGGTGTGAAGTACATGTGGATTCTGTTGAGTATCGAGTTTTTGAGCTGGTTTACACTGTCTTCTGAGCTGTTTGTTTTGTCTTAAGGTACATGTAGTAAAAAATGAAAAAAAAAGACCTGCAAAGAAACAATCAGAGGTTTATTCTTTCCATGTAGTTCTCAAGATAAATTATAATTGTGGTTTGAATTTTTCTTTCATTGGTATTTGAAAGTTTTGTATCAGTTAATTGTGTTTTCCCCTCAGTTTCAGATTTTGGCACAGTAATAGATACTAGAAAAATTGGAAAAAAAAAAAACAATTGAAATGGTTTGAAGATCTTAAGAAGCTTTACTCCTGTTTTGATACTGAGGTAAATAACTGATGATGAATTCTTCTTTTTTTGTGTAGGCAAAGCTGGCAAACAGTTTGTCATCAGATTGCATCCCTCTTTATCAGAAGGCACTTTCAAACCTCAGAGGCTTTCTCCAATCAGGAACAATGTTAAACGGCGTTGGTTCACAGGAGAGGAGGGTATGGCTGATGACATGGATGGTGAGTTAAACCTTTCACTCCCAAGATCTCATCAGCAATTCTCCTTACTGTTCTGCATACAATTCTTATGATGTTAGTTTGGAGAATTTGGTATTGGATCATCTGATAATCCCCTGATTTTCTTTTTTTCCTTATTCGTATTACTTGTCTGCTTGATATCGTATTGATATTGTAAGGAGAAATTCTGTCTTGGTCACTCATGGGAGTTAAAGGAATAAAACTACTGGGTTATATATTCCAAAGAGCTGGAAAGAAATTGTCGAACAATCAAGAGCTTTTTCAGTTGGTGATCATCTCCTTTATTCTAGGTCATGACCTTAATTTGTGATTCAGGGCTGCTAGTCACTCTTAGTGACTAGCTATATCTATGGGCGATGCATTTCAGAATTTTTGACTCGCTTCACTTATTGGTTTTCCTTTTCAATCTTATTAGACACAGGGCTGCCAACCCCTCATTACAACGCATCAGTATTGTCAGACATGTTCCTGGAACATCACCTTCACCACTTGTACAAATGCATCACGGATTTTCCAGGAATGAAAGATGCTGTGGCTCTCATCAAAGTTTGGTTGCATCAGCGGGAACTTGATAAGGTTTTGGCATCACCAATATCACTCTTTGCTACTAACAGTAACTGTGACTTCCATGAGAGAGAGGCACAATGGAGGTTTAGCAAACAAATTTGAGCCTTTGAGTATTGTGTTGTTGACTCGGGGCAAATGGCCCTGTTTCCACAGTGACAACTTGTCATTTGATGACTCTCATGTTTGACAGTTGGAGATGCACCATTACTGACATTCAGGTATTTTCTGGTGGAGGTAAGGAAGGTTGACTGTGACAACACTTTAATTTTATGGGAGAAACCTGGTCACCAGATGTATCCTCATCTCACTCAACTGGTGATGGTAGTAACTGTCAGTTGTAATTTCTTCACACAGGGCCAGGGTTGCTGCAGCGGATTTTTAGTGTCTATGTTCATCTCTCATTTACTACTTATCAAGAAAATCAACAAGCAGATGAGTTCATATCAGATCCTTAGAGTTTTCCTACAGTTCCTTGGTAAGTATTCAAAAGAAAATCTCTCTCTATGGATTGCTGCATTTAATTTTTTATTATTCACTGGAGAATTATTATTATTTACTAAGTATTGGTCTCACTTTTATTTTCAGTGTCAAATGATTTGACAAAAGAAGGAATAACAATGACCAGGGAAGACAGTGATGACAGTAATGTGGTAAGATGTTGAAGTTGAAGTTCATTTATTTGTTTAAGCAGGTTGATTAATTTGGCAGCTGTTNAGAATATCTAACCATTTCTTGATGTTGTAGAAAGGTAGCAAATTCTTCTCAATTATTTTAAGACCTTGAGTGTTGGTCCGACCAGGGCTCAAACCCTTGACCCCCCGCACTACAGTCCAGTGCTCTATCCATTGAGCTAACCGGGAGGCGGTTAATTCAGACTTGAATTCTCTGTCACATGAACATTCACAAACTAGATGTTCTATGGCAACAAAATTAGCCCAACAAGCTATCTGTGAAAAATGTCCTATTGATGTTAAATGGGCAACAAATATTACAAATGGTAAAATTGCAGACCCTATTCAAACAAATTAAGACAAGAGGAAAAAAATTTAACAAAAACTAGGCATTGAAGCTTTGTCTTTGTTTGTTTCTTTTTTTTTTCAGCCATCAAAGGCAGATTTTCATGCAGGGTTTGATGTGGTGTTTGTGGACCCATCTGGTTACCTAAACCTTTGTGCAGGAATGACTAGGGCACAGTACAATAGAGTGAGTCACTTGTAATGTAGTTAACATCTTTATAAAAGAATGAAATCCATGGTTAAACTCTCAGAAGGATTCTATCAGTGGAAGATGCTTCGTTGAAAAGAACATTGACTTCTTAAAACTTTTGTTGCTCTCATAGTGCTAGCATTTAATTTCTATTTATGATTAACAAGTATGACATGAATATCACAATTCTCAGACAAAAATAGCTCTCTAAGGATCATGTTTAAAGTAATATATACTTGGAGTGCACTGCAAAACTTTCTGTACCTTTCAAGTGTACTTCAAGTATACTTTTGGGTGTTCCAGTTTCAGTTGGGAACAAGTATGAAACATGTATACTTTTGGTAGCTCTTCAAACTATACTTCTGATTACAGAAATAGTATAATAATTAAAAGTGTACTTAATTTTGGTAAAGGTAAGGAAACAGTCAACTAAAGCAAGAAATATACATTAGATTGTTTTGAAAAACAATGTGATGTATAGGGTACTCTCTGTACATTGGTGTCATTAATTTAATGTACAGTAAACCATTTGTGGTTGTTATCATTCAATCCACAGTTACAGTCTGAAGCCAGGTTATCTTTGGAATATTTGGATAACAGTTTTATGGATGGCTTTGAAGTTCTTTTTATGAAGTCTGTGCCATTTATTCAAACATTTGATCAATATCTGCAGTGAGTATTCGTACTTGTACACATATGCATGTTCAATTGTTGAATCCAAAATTATGTTCACAAAGTGAATATTATAACGTGGAGACAAATTACACAACAGAGTATGCAACAGGGTTACAGGGTTTTGGGTAAAGGTAAAGAATCTGATCCCACCGACATGTCACCCAATGCATCAGCCAATGCGTGGCCAACAGGTTGGTCAACAGTGGGCCAACAGTCAGCCCACTGTCAGCCGATGTGTTGGCCTACAGGTATGAAACTTGAAAAATCTTCCATTTATCAAGTGAATCATGATCATTCAGACCTGAGTAAGTGACGTTGCTTCCTGCCCTTTGTGACACATATGTGTAACTTTCCTTGCTTAGGAGGGGATTGGGATTTTTCTATCTCAAAGGGCATACTGGATTTCAGATTTTTTGTAACCCTCTGAATGTTAAGGAATGGAGGACAAGAGTGAATCTTTTTATTCTGATGTCTCTGTTGCAGAATTCCAAATATTAGTTCTTTGGAGGTGGTTTGTAAGAAGGATGACCTTCTTGGTCACCTTATCGACCATCCTGGAGATTGGACTCCAGTTGTTACTGATTGGCTACTTCATCTTGTTGATAAGGGTCTGGGAAAGAGAGTAGACATGCTGTGCTTTGAGCCACAGGCACCTTGTCAGGTACAAACAAAAATTCGTATTTTATGACATTAATGCAATATTAAGGACAATAAACAGCGTAAGCATGGCATCAACATAAGATGAGAATTGGAAAAGCCTTGTTAAGAACTTAAGTCGTATTTCTAACCAGAGGCATCAGTCAATCAGAGACAAGAGAGAAAATCCCAGTATACGAGTGCTAATCTTAAACTTGTCTCTGTGTGTATATATACTTGACATAGAGCATTAAGTTTATTCAGTTGAAACAAACTTGAAGTGATATTTTTATCACCACCTGCTACTCAGTGGCCAGTTGGCAAGACTCCACCCGACAGAGGTCAGAAGGCTTTGACTCTGGGTTTGCTGTTGAACTCTGATCATTCTGATGTCGTACTTGACACGGGACCCCCAGCCGACAGCGCAGAGGTTAGTGGTTGTAAATGCTTTTTTTTTTTTTCTTGTGTTGATTTTCAAAACATGGCAAAAACTCGAGTAACCGTTAGGTTTTATTGTTGTAAAGTTCTCTTAATAATTTCAAGTCAATCAGTACAGCACCGTAGACCTACGTGAGTGACGTGCAAGAAATTTCTGTTTTTCTTTTCCCCAGGCGACATCTTTTCGATCATTTTGGGGCGAGAAGTCTGAGTTGCGTCGATTTAAAGATGGATCCATCCTGGAGGCGGTGTTATGGCCGTGCAACAGTTTAGCAGAAAAACGAACTATATGTGAAAAAATTATCAAACACCTTATTCAAAGGTGATGATCACATTTTAAACTAATCTTTTGAAAAAGTTTTGATGGAAGAGCATGCTACTTTTATCGCATTAGAGACAGCTTAATTCCTCTGAAACTCCAATACGTTTTGTGTCCTCGGTGTGAAATAATGGCTGAAAATTGTATCGACTGGATTCCGACTCTCTTGGCAATTCTTATGAGCAGTGATGTATGTTGCCAGAAGAAGAGGGAAAAAGGTCTGCGAGGGAGGTTGGAGAAAAAAAAAAAGAAAACTAATGGATCTTATGAGTTCCTCTCCTCCCCCTTTCACTCCCCCCCCCTACCCCCCATTCGTATTACTTTGTTGATATTCAGCCTTGAAACTGGGTATAAGCAACAACGTAAACAATTATTTAATTTTAGGCACGGAGATGTCGACACTTCGTCGTTCACGTACGTTGCGAGTCAGTTGGACTGCGTACTGCAGACTCGTGCTGAATCTGCTAACAGTGGAACAGGCGAGGAGGATGCAGAGAGAGTGAATCAAGTTTATAACACCTTGTGTAAACAGATCCGAGCGTTGGAGCTGCCACTTAGTGTGAGCTCGTTGCAGGGAATAAGCCCGGTGTTTAGGGGAGCAGAGGTACTATTCAACTTCTAGAATATCTATGATTATTAAAAACTTGATCATTGGATAAAGCAATTCAAGACTTTTAATCGGCTTAGCCAACTTAAAATTAAAAGGGAGCTTAGAAAAAGAATAAAATTTAATAACTTAATTTATCGTATTTAATAAAACAATTATTCCACTCGCGTTTTTTGGATATGAGATGATTATAGCCAACTCGGCGCTACGTGCCTCGTTGGCTATCTATCATCTCATATCCAACACGCGCTCTTGGAATAACTGTTCATTATTGAAAACTAGATCATTGGATAATGCAATTCAAGACTTTTTACTGGCTTAGCCATTATGGTATATCAGTCAATATACCATATACTACAAATATGGTAAGCGTACGTGTCAGCTTAAAATTTAAAGAGAGCTAAAAATTGAATAAAATTTAATAATTTAATGGAACGTTTTTAATAAAAACAATTATTCCACTCGCACTTGTTGGATATAAGATGATTATAGCCAACGAGGCGCGTAGCGCCGAGTTGGCTATCTATCATCTCATATCCAACGCGCGCTCGTGGAATAATTGTTAAATATCTGCTTATTAACTGAACAAAAAGACCGCATAAAAAATAATGCAGTCTTTGCCACGCTCGGTAGGAAGAGCTAAGAGTTTTCCACTCTTGCCCACCGACGCAATTGAGTCTGTGCGGCAGCCTTTCTTTCTCTTTATTCCTTTATTTCTGCACACCGCGTGCGAAGCCATACGGGTCAGATGATCACATTTTCAAAATCTATCCGATAATTAAGCACAAAAATTACCAACTTTGGAATAACTTTGCGATCAGAGCTCAAGTGCTGTAATCGAGGTTAATGGCAACCGTTTTTTCCAGTATTGCACAAAATCCGTATGTCTTCGTGGACAAAATTTACGAGCACCAAACATGTATTTGCTCCGAATTTTATCGCAACTGATTAACAATCCTCTCCCATAGCAACCATTCCTTTCTTTTTAAACGAGCGTAGATAATTTTGCGGTATTCAACATACCACCCTTCGACTGATGTTTTCTCTTTTCTCGTCACCTTTTTGGTAAAAAGATGTTTGTAAACTGTAAGGAGAAATCACTTGATCGTCTCTTCTGATAGGAAAAGAGTTGAAAATAAGTATATTCTTATGTTTCTTTACACGTACTTTAAGGTTTTTCCACCAAGAGCTTGCTTTAAAAATAGCAAAGTCAAACCGCAACCTGGCAAGGAAAACCTGGCAGACAATGTTTCACTGCCGTCTGAACTAAAGAACACCTCTTGGTGTCCAGCTATGGAAGGTAATTAATATCGTTTCTTGTGCAAGGTGCATATATTTTGACATATATAAGCGCATGAAAACACTCGGATATAAACGTGTTGAACCAGCACATTTCACACAACCTTCATATTTGTGTAAGAGCCAACAGTGTGATGGATACCAACTCAAAGCACAGCGAAGCTAACGTAACGCGAAACCGGTTAGGGAACTTCTCGAGAAGTTTTAGGCAGGGAAAGATCTTAGGCTGAACTTACGGATTTTGAATACAATTTAGTGCATTCCTGTTTGCGATTGACGAGTTTCATACGAATATTTTGTTTTTGAATGTCCGTATGAGAAGTATTTAAACTATCGGACCACTTTGGAAGGCACGTGAAATAATCTAAAGTCATTTCTCTCTTAGTTGTCTTGCAGTTTGAAACGAGTGGAAAATGGCCGGATGACTTGACCGCCATTCAACACATCAAAGCGGCATTCCACATAAGACTTGCCGAGTTACTGAAGAGCAAATGTTCACTCGTTACTGCCGCTTCACGTCATCATTTAGACGTACTGAAGGTCGGTGACTTGAGTTGAATTTCCTGGATTTGAGTTTTGACGCTTTTTACTACCGCATGGCCTGTTACTTTATTTCATTGAGTATTTCGTTTAAACTACACCTACATTAACTGAAACACAGGTAGCATTGTTAGTAGCGTGATTTAATCGTATCCTTGTTCTTGGTGGCTGTTCTACAGGATGGTTTTGTGTTCAGAGTAAAGATCATGCACTACCGTGAAATGGTGTTGCTCCAAAAAAGCGATATCTCTCAGGAGTCAAAAACAGATCACGAGAAGAAAGCTAAAGAACTAGAACGTGAATTAACACATCTACCATTATTGACAAGTACTCTTCATGGGTAGGTCAGAAAAAACGAAGTGACAAGGATAACTGTAGTCAATCTTAGGTGATTAAAATTAATTGAGACTAGAATCAATTATGTCAGAGGAAATACAAGGAAAGCCGGTAACTAAACTTTTAATAGAGTATCTAAAGCACGAAAGTGAAATTCTCTACTCTCATGTAAACACTAAGTTACAGAGAGCATTGAACAAGTTGCAAGTGCCTCATGTTGGTGTCAAGGGTGTCAAGTCAAGGGCTGGAAAACACAACTGGTGTTCAGCCCAACAAGGTACAAAAGGCAACTGGTTTCAAGCACTGTAAGGTGCATCCTGGGTAATGCGCGGGAAAAAAGTGCAACCTGTGTGAAACGCGGGAAAAATGCTTCAACCCCGTTTTTTCGTTCACACTATTGTGCTTTGTAGGAATGGAGCCTTGCAGTGTACGAGTTCCAGAGCCCGTTATTTAGAGGAACGTGTCACAGCTTTTTGTTTAACATATTGGAAGTGGGGAACTGCTAAGCAACATGCATCACATAACCAGCACAAAAGAAATGTATTCACCAAGCGAGTAGCCTGATCGTCTAGGCGATAATAGTCCTGAGAAGGAGTGTCGTCAGTAGTTGTGACTGACAGTGACTGACAGTGATTGACGTTTCAAAACCCTTTGTCTAAGTTATCATCAGAGTCGAGAACGTGTTCAAGCACAAATTATCGTATTTGCTTCCCACAGGATACAACAGCAGTTTAGTGGATATAGTGGAACTGTACGTTTGGCAAAACGCTGGATGTCGGCTCAACTGTTGTGTGATCATATGACTGAAGAGTGTATCGAGCTATTGGTTGCCTCTCTGTTCCTCTCCCCAGCCCCCTTCGCTCCTCCCAGGTAAGCCACGAGTTTATGTTTACAGGTTTCCGAACTTTTATAAACATGTGGAACTTTTAGTTACAAGTGAAGAATTTTTGCAAAAGAATGTTGAAAACAGTGATAATCGAACCCTAACGTTACTTTCATGTCACATGTCGAGTTCTTTTTCAGATCTTGACGATTCGTCTTTTTAGTCTTATGCAAGATTCCATCTCAGAACGCATGAGAAAAGAAAAGCGTTTAAACTGATTAATCTTCTCTTTCCTCAGATCTCCCTTCATTGGATTTCTTCGATTTCTTCATCTGCTGTCTTCGACCGATTGGCAAACAACGCCGATAGTTCTAAATTTCAATAATGACATTTCTGGTGAGTCATTAGAACACTTTCGATTAAGTTTCCCAAGATTAAAACCAAAGCAATAACGACAGCCTATCAGAACAAAGGAAAATATGACAGGGAGCCACTGAGAACTTTGAGTAAAAACAAGCTACCTTCCGAAGCGCGGGTATTCTCGAATGACCAAGTCAAGACTTAATTTGGTTCTGCATCTGATTGGTTTAGAATTTGGTGCAAGTTTTCTCGACCAATCTTCTTCAGTTATAGTGAAGGAATTGCGCCAGAAAAATGTCATGTCAAGGCGCTATTTTTGTACCGTATTTTGGATAAAGGATGTATTTGAAGTAAAATGATAAAATGGTTATTCTGCATACGTTGAAAATCTTCACATGACCTCTCTATTAGCTTTTTTCTATATTTGACAACCCAGAGCAAAATGTAGCATGTTTCTTTCCCTATTACCGCTGATTTCTAATCCTTACACTCTGCGGGAAGGCTGTCACATAACAGGCCACCATCAAGCCCTCTGTGGCCCTGTTGTTACTGTGCGTTTCACCGCGCAACAGTGGAATCAGAAGGTCTGAGGATTGAAACCTCGTGATTGACACAGTAATTTTTGATATATTTCCTCTGTCCCACGCTTCTGACTCTGAAAGTGTCTCTTTTTTATTTCGTAGCTGAAGAATACCAGGAAATAACTTCCAAGTTTTCAAATAACAGAGCGCGGCTTCCAGCGATATTTATTTCTACTCCTAGAGACAAATTTACTTCTTTGTGGACAAAGGACAAACCCTCCAAACAGGTTCTGTCGTCAGTCATTTGCATATAGCTCGTTGTATTATAGTTGAATTCAATATTTGCGCTTTATATTAATCTTTTTTTCCCGTACCACAGATTGTTAATAGACTTTCCTTGCTGGCGAGAGAGTCGCACTCAGTCTTGGAACATCAAATTAAAACGTGTGCTCTTCAAACAACAGATTTCAAGGTACGACGGAATCACATTAAGTTTGCTCTTAGTACACAAAAATATAGTTGATTCAGTCAGCAGTGATGTAGAATGTGAACAAAAGAGTACCGCACCCACCCGTCCCTTTGTTGGACGCAGTAGATAGACGACGGTATACCGTGGCTGTCCGAAATGTAATTTTTCCACTTTGTCAAAGTAGACATAACTCTTTAGCCACTTGTTTGTTTGCTTTTTTAACGTAGGCATTTGGATCGATAGAAAACTTATCATTTTATATTTCTTTCTTCTGTGCGTTTCTCTCCTCAGTTAATCTTCCGTCCGCCATTGGATCATTATGACGTCATCATCCATCTTCACCATCGTCTCCTCCCTCGAAGAACCCAGGCCTTGGATCGTGTGAAACATTCAACAGAGGACACCTCGATATCAAGTCCACCTGTTTTACTTCCGGTCGTCAACTTTGACCCTACGCGCTTGTATCTCGAAGAACTCAAGGTTAGGACAGATTTTCTCTTGTAACGTTATGCGGAAGTTGATGCTAGATATGACGAATAAAGCCAGATTGTAATCCGAGATGTTCATGAATTCTTTTTTTTTTTTCAGGAGGCGTTTTCCGAAGTCGCGGTGTTCTTTCACGATGTTTATGGAGGGGACATTATTGGAGTTTTGTGGAAACCCTACAGCTTTGTACCAGCTCAGTTTAAGGTGCAGTCCCCTCATATTTTGTCGGAGTTTGTCTTCTTTGTTATTTTTTTATAATCTAATCGGGCTGTTATTTCGTCTCAACAGGTTCTACACGTGCAGTACAAGATGCCATTAACCATTCCTCAAAAGAGTGCAAAGGTTGGTTGCGCATCGCGAAAGTTAACTGAAAATATATAATTGCGTTACACTGAACACCGATTGAAAAGGGTGTAAATTTCCTTCAAACATTACTCTGTGGGCACTATTTGACTCTACTGTAAGCCGCTTGAACAACCATTTCAAACTACTCTGAGCGAAGTAAACTAACTTTTAAACATATTTAAATGTAAATTGTCTTGTCTTCGTCCGAAGAAGCTATGAGGAATGACAACTTTGACCATCAAAATATGATAGAATTGCTTTATCCTGAAATTTTAAAACCTGTCATTTCTCTCCCAATTGGATTGTTCAAAAACTGGAAATTTGTAATTGGTTGTATAGCTCATGATAGATTTAGCCAAATGTAAATTGCACTTTTTGGACGGTACGAAAACGTACTCATCAGTGTTGTTTGCAAAGTCCGCGACAAGATCCAATGGACTGCACAGGTTAACCAGTACTTTCAAGTTTCAAATAAACTTTTAGTATTGCGCGACTCGTATGGGAGGGGGATGTGGAGGTATATTTGTATCGTGCCTGACAGGGTAGCCAATCAGACAGAGGATTAGCTTGATATTTCCCGTTCGTAGAGCCAGCAACATTACATTTTTCTTTTCTTTCAGTCCAAGCAAGTCCCAAGCTGGGTCATACCGAGTATATCAGCCATCTTGTCTGACTTTCAAACAATCGGAGACGGATTGGTGAAGAAAATCGAGGTGATGAATGCTTGAAGAAAGAAAAAACAATCCAACAAATCCTCAAGGGACATCAGATTGAGGTCAGTAAAAAAAGTAAAAAAAAAAAAAAAAAACTGCCTTATATTGAAAACACTGTAAGCGTGAAAATCTTATCGATTAAATAGAAAAAGAGAAAGCGGTGTAATAGAGCAGCTTAGACAAAAATTATGTATAATACCTCAATCTAAGACAGCTCTGTTGAAATTTTTCTTCTTAGATTGTAAGTGATGTCCCTTGCTCGGACTCAACTTGTTCAGTCCTAAGATAAACTTCTTTTTAAACAAAAATTAAAAGTGCTTTTGCTTCATCAAATCATGTGAATGCTTGGCCCGTATCATGATTTCAAGTAAGTATAACTACAAAATCTTCTTAACAGAGTAAACGAGAGGGCCAGTCAATCCGCTGAGAAATCGTCGACACTAGTACCTTGTTTACAAAAAGGAAAACACTCAAAAAAATTACAAAATACTCAACTGCCCACTAAAATCTATAATTGGATTTTTTAAGAAGCTAGTTTTAACTAAAAGCTTCATCGATTCGTACACAAACCCGAGCCCGTATTATGCGGGCAATCGGTTTCAAGTCTAAATATCAGCATTGCAGATCAGATGTGTACTGGGTATGACAAGCGCTTGGTGCTTTAAAAAATTCATCGTGATAAGATTACTTTTTTCTTTGCTAAATAGGACTATCAAAACTCTCCTTATCTTCTCATTTTTGGAAAATTTAGTTTCATTATGTAGGTGACAACGCATATTTCACTTTTGGAAGCTTCCTTCAAAAGCTTAAGAAACTTCTACTTGGTAAAGTTCCTTTGGATTCCTTACACTTAAAAATATTAACTCCAAATTTTCTGTTTTCTTTCCTCTAAGAACTATCAAATCACCTTCGAGATATAAGATTTTACAACAATTTGCTTTGCATGACTAACTAATCGCGTCTGAAAAAGAAATTAATCACAATTTGCTTGGTTTGACTTCTTAATCGATACTTTGAAAAATGTTGCTCTTATAACCGACGTCGCTGTTCAGGCTTGCTTTTCTTGTGCAAACTGTAGTATTCAGTTTCTTATTTCAGTTGGTATCAGAATTCTCGCCCATCTGCAAACTCATTAATCATATCACCTGAACATGAGCAAGAAATGAACGGGTTTCGGATCAAGGAGCAACACTTAAATGGTTTCATGTAAAGGCAAGTGAAGCAAATAGACAGTACCTACCAAGACCTTGTTCTTCAGTGCCCTTCTCTGAAAATAAAGCTAAATACCTCAGTTTGTCATTCCAGTTTTTCCGAGCATGCGTTATACTCTAAACACATTAGACAACCAATAGAATACGATCTTCTGTTTCCTAGGCAAGACCTGTTCGACAGTCATTTTCGTGGTCATTCGCACCTTCAAACCCATCCTTCCCACATGCCGCGGGGCATTTCGTAGAGCTCTGGGGTCTGGACATTAAAGATTTCTTCTCAAGTTTATAATTCGAAGATAACACTTTTTTTAAAAAGAGCATTTAACAATACAGCCGCCAAAAAAAGTTCTGTATTCCGTTTTACCCTCGTTGGACTTTTGCTTAAAACACCGCAGGGTAAGCTGTCACATGAAACTACATCCATCTTTAACTTGAGTATTTATTCTATCGGTATCACTTGGCTACAGAAGATGCAACAAATCTCAAAGCTGCGTTCGGCTTTATTTGGGGGCTGGCACACTGTCGTATTTCCAGCGAGTATGTCACCTAGCCCCTTCACTTTCTGTAAACGTGATCTTTCTTATGGCACCTGTCGTAAAATACGCCATCTTCACTTAATTTTAATCAATGTCTACTCAATGAGCTGAAGCGTTACGTCAACGGAAGTGAATACTATTCCAAGGTTAAAAATTTCGCTTGGTCCTGGTCGCTAGTCTGGCACCCAGTACCTTTGACCAAGACGGAAGCACGTGCTGGAGCCTCCTTTTGATGCTTTCCACCGATTTCATTTAGACTTCCGGTGCTCCATATTTGGTCAAAATAGAATTGTTTAGATCGAACTGCAGATCTGCGGTATACATTAGACAGGCGCAATGAAATTTTTTTAGCGGATGTTGCTCGTCGATGTAGTTTGGTAGGTTTCGCGGAAAGAAAATGCCATGGCCATCGTTCTGGAACCGAAGTCTTCTTACAACCTTATATCCCGAGCAGTATCAAGCAGTAATAAACTTCTAATGCACGTGAAATTGACGGACTCTTGTCTACGAGCGTTAGAAGACTATCAATTGGCCGAGGTAGCGCGACTTATTTATATCAGTTGCTTGCGATATGATAAACGCAAGGCATTAATTCAGTGCTGTTTCTTTTACAAGTTTCACCTGATTTTATTCATTGTTCGGTCATTTTTATCGTCAACAGGTATCCTCAGGAAGAAAGCCAAGTATTAAATTTTCAGGATATCAAGGGGTAGGTTTCTGGCTTGAGATCTTGCGTTGATTTTAGTCACTCATTCTCGTCATCTGTGTTTAAATCATTTTTCATGATCATCTTCGGTTATAATTATAAGTGAGCCAGGTTGGGAATGAATAAATCATTGTAGCAGATGTTAATTCAGACACGGTGAAAACCTGCTGTACTCGAGGCTGTATACACAGCCGCTTGCCCTTGTAAGTTTAAATGTTTGTATTTCGAACCATCAATCGATTTTAGAATCTATATTTGTAGATTCTTACACTGTAGAGTTCTACGTTCCGTCTCTAAGGGAGAAGTTTCTATCGAGTACAAATCTTCCGTAAAACAAATGATGTAGCTCTTTGTTTGTTGAAAGGCTTTGAGTATCTCGGAGATCTTTTTGTTCATTTCTACCTGCATGTAAAACAGAAAACAAAGTTAATTGACTAAACTGCATGGATATGTACCTAAAGTGAACACGAACCAACTAGAATTCTCACTGAACCTTTGAACCGGACAGAAGGAAGAGTGTTCGTGTCAAAAATTGTCAAAAATAACCGTGTGTTATTATTACTATAATTATTATTTTTTCTTATAGCAATATTCTTTAATCACCGTGAGTCAGGGAAAGTTACATCCCCTTCTATGATTTGCGAATGAAAAAAACTCATTGCTTTTTGATTATCAATTTAAATGTATTTTTCATATAGCTTTTGCTGAAGTCTGATAAGTAGAGCTTAATTTGCCACACTGGACTGGCTGTTTAAAATTTCTTTGATTTACTTCAAAAAGTGTTCTGTATACTTTTAGGTTCAAGCAAACTTCAAGGTATCATTTTTTCCAACAGTAATGATTTGATGTGAAGCTGGGCGATTTGAATATTTTAGTGTATTTTTTATATCGTACAGCTGTATTCAACACATGTAAGGTGATTGGGAGTTTGTGAAAACCATCACTTAGTCATGTCATCAATGTGTATGCCCTGACGCATTTGCTCTCATTAACCCTTTCCAGTGTGTTTTTTACTAATGGTGCTTCGAGAGGTTTGTAGCGAACTCTGTTGTTGAGTTGCACTTTGGCCTCGTCTTTTTTTTTTTTCCTTTCTTTCTTATCCATGATGACTGGTGTTGTGATAGTTTTTATAGGGTTTAAAGCAGAATTGTTTTTCAACTCCTCTTTAACTGTGAACTCATTGTGTTACAAATTTTTCTATGGCTTGGATGCAGTAATCTCTGCAAGTTGTGTTATGACATTTTCTAACTGGTTCTCAAGGGCAATAGAAGGCTGAACCAGTGGCAACCAGTTTGATATGAAACAGATCTGGTTGATTGTTTTGTCTGTGAAAGGTGTATTGGAAGTGCAAACAGATCTCACAAGAGTTGGTCTGATTTTAAATTTGTTTGTCATGGGTGGCTGGATGAATTTGAGATCCTTTGATAGCACACTGACTTGGCTGTCTAAAATTTGATAATGTGATGTAACCACAAAAGCCAGACAGTAAGTCTGTACCGGTCTGTCTTTACCTTTACTCTCAAATTTTTTCTGAAATCTTGGAAATTAATTAGCCCTTGAAAATATGCCAAAATAATTTATAGTTAAATGATCAAACAACTCAACAGGCACTGTCAGATCAAAGGACTTACAGCAAGTTCAGGTTGATTGCTCAAGAAATATCACTAATTAAATTAGTGTTGAACTGAAGAATTTAATCCAAAGGCTGTGAAGTAGTGCATGCGTTTAACCATGATTTTGTGCCTTGATGACTGTATTGGATCCAGATGGGACTTATCTTATCAGATCGTGTGTCAACCTCTGAGCCTGGAGGGAAAGAGTACCCGACCAAATCCATAAATGAGTTAACCCTTGAACTGCCAAGATTTGATTGTCAATTCTCCCCTGTAACTACTATTTATTTCCTTGTAACTTAGATTTAAGAATTTGTTGTTAGATCAAAAGATAACAACTTCTACTTGATAAGTTTGTATATTCTTATTACCTGATACTGGATAATGTGTTATAAGGAGAGATGACCTGTGAATCACTTCTGGGATTTATAGAGTTATTGTGACTTATTAAGGGGCATGAAATCATCCTAGTATGTTATGATACAATTGGTGTAAGTTACAATGCAGGGGATGAAGGGAAAGGAGCTAGCATGGATCCTTTCACTTACAGGAGCCAGCAAGACAGAATTTGTCCTTACGATATTAATACCATATCAAGCCAACAAGTCAAGAGAAAAAAGAAAGCTATCAATTAGGGGAATAGTAATTGATCAAGTACTAAACTCTCCAAACTTACATTATTAAAATTGTACAGCACAGAGAGTAAGGAGAGTTGCTAATGGGATCTTGGGAGTGAAACGGTTCAGATATCTTGATTTGATTGCAAGCTTTTGTGGAGCCTTTTGCTTTGTATTTTGATTTTGTTGTTGTTGTTTTTATTGTAAAACTAAATAATATCATACAACACAAATGGAGAGAAACTGAATCTTTAAGTATTCTATATTCTTTTTAAGTAATTAACCCTGGAGATCTTGCAAACAGGGAAACTAGAAACTTGTCATGCTAAGGAACAGTCTATGATGGGCTGGTGGGACACCCTTTTAGCTTAAAGCATTCTTGGATTCATTATACTTGTTGTGTTCTCAAGAAAGACACAGTCAAGTAACCACTTTAAGAGCACTCTTCTCATGAGGACCTGTGGTAATTTAGTTTCTAGTAATTTAGTTTCAATTACCTAACTGGAAGAAAGTAATTTTTATTATATATATTTCTTCTCTTTAGTCAATATCAATTCCACTTGGTAAGGCTGATTCAGGAGATGAAAACACAGCAGAGTTTCAGCTGGATTGTTCAGCAATCTTGTCCGCTGGACAACAGGGTGAAATGGATTGTATTCAGCAATCTGCAGGAAGTAGTGACATTGGAACTCTGGGAGCAGTTACTTATAAAATTACTGTCAGAGCTACTGATGACAGTTACCAGATGACACAGCAAAGAATGAAGGAGGCCGAGGAAGAAAGGAAAGGAATAAGGTAGGAAATAACTTATCTTGTTGGTAGCTTACTGCAGGCCCCAACTGACTGGGGGTGCTCCAAATGTGGAACTTTTTTAGTTTGTTATAACTTTTTTACTCCCAAGATCTCTTTAGTATTTCTCCTTACTGTCTGCCATACAGTTCTTACGATGTAAGTTTGTTGAATTTGTATTTGATCAACTATTAAAGTGCCCCTGAGATGAAAATTTTCGTACATCATTTTTTTTYCATTTTCGTGTTCAGTGTGTCTCCTTCACCTACTCTGCCAAATTTCAGTTTAGACTGAGCACCAGAAATATCTTTTTTCGGGCCGTTAAATTCATGATTTCGTGTCCACCATTATTTGATCGTGTTCCAGAAGTTGATCGTAGGACTTAGAGGAAGTGACGTCAAAGGCTCAACACGAAAATCTCACATGGCAAAATGTCAAGCAAACATGACAGAGTGCTTCACTCTATTCAAGATTACAAAAACTAAACAAAAATGACTGGGCATTGATGCGTAATTCAAAGCTGAAGTAATTGTGCAGACCATGCTGCAGGTATTTCTCTGCATCGGAGCCTTGCAAATAGATCAGAGCGAGAAAAACGGATGCGATTTGTGCGACCTCGCCCAGTAAACTTCAATCCTACAGAAATATTTGTGATCTACTCTGAACACTTCTCAGAGGACTCTTTTGAGAGATCTGTGTACTTTGAAGGATCTAGGCAAAGAATTCTGTTGGGTTCAGTGCCTACCATTCAAGAAGAGAAGGGGCAAGAAAAACCGTCCTCAGTGCGATCTCCATGCCAGAAAGCGAAGTCTACAAACCTCCGGATTTTGTCTCCTTTACATATGAGCTGATCAATATCCACCTTTAACAACTCTCTGGCAGAATACCTTACCCAAAGGAAAGTACTCGGTGAACATTGTAAATAAGAATGATAAAATAGACGAATCGAGGATTGAGATTTCTGACCTCAAAGAGCTCACTTTTATACAAAAGAGATGAAAAATATAATTGTGTGCTCTGATTCTAGAAAAAGCTGGCCTTAATATCAGCAAAAGCAGAACAAACAGCTTAAGGCACAGAGTGTAAAAACACTTTAAAATGTAGGCATGCAGCCAAAAAACCGAGAAAATTAAAATTTCTTTAAAAACCTGTCAAACTGTCCGGCGGCAAGGACGACTCAGTGAACAACATGAACAATCTTTATTTCCAAACTCGAGCACGAGGAGCTCGCTCAAAGTAACTACAACGTGATGCCCGTAGCCCGAATGTAGTTTCTCTCAGAGGGGGCCTAAGTACGGGTGACGGGCCAACAAAACTATCAACCATCTGACAGCCAAGTCAGCATGCTATCAAAGGGTCTCAAATTCGTCCCAATGCCCGTTACAAACGAATTTAAAATCAGGCCAACTTTTGCGAGATTTATTCGCAAGACGAGTGCGCCTCTGTTACACCTTTCACGGCCAAAACAAAGAACCACGTCTGTTTCATATCAAACTGAATGCCACAGCTTCAGTCTTCTATCGCCCTTCAGAGCGACATGATGCTACTTGCAGGCTGCATCTAAGCCAAAAAATACTTTGTAATGCAATGAGGTCACGGCTCTAAAAGAGTTGAAACAAACTCTGCTTTAAACCTCACCGAAGCAACACAACAATAGTCATCATGAATAAGACAGAAAAAACAAAAGAGACCAAAGTGCAAGTCAACAACAGAGTTCACTTCAAACCTCTCAGAGCACCGATAGTAAAAACCACGTAGTAAAGGGTTAATGAGATCATTGGCCAAATGCATCGGGGAAAACACATTGATGGCTTAGAAATGGCTTTCACAAACGCCCAATATCCGCCTTCAGATGCACAATTAGCCATTGCCGAAGACTATTTTTACTAATCACCCCATCATTTTGTACACAAAAGGAAAATCCCTTACGACAAGCAAAAATACAGTTTGAAGGCAATAAAGCGATGCAACCACAAAAGCCACTTTGGGAGTCCATGCTGTTCTGTTTTTATCTTTATTCGCTTGGCAAAAATTCATCGTTTGTTGGCGCAAAACTATCCACAGAAGCTTCAGATGATTTCTGGGACAATTCATCGTCTGGAGAAGTCGACATTTCCCGACTGACAACGGAACAGTTCTCAGAAAAGTAATGTGTGATTCTCTCTGCAGCGAACAAAGAGAGTTGTGACGAAGCAAAGCATAAGTTTGTTGAGCCTTTGACGTCATAATGACGTTTTTGTGGGCTTGGCTGGAACATGTTTTCAGCAATGGCTTACAATTTTTGGATGACTTTGAAGCGGTAAAAATTGGTCATCAAAGGTTTGTTTCGAGTTTTTAATGGCAAAAAGGGTCTTAACTTGACCCAATTCAACATTGTGTAAACAATTTAGGCCAAAATAAAATGGTCAATTTTCGTCTCAGGGGCACTTTAATTGATATATTCTCTTACTTTACAGCTTAATGTGGTATTGGTGTTGTAAGAAGAAATTTTGTCTTGGTCACTGACTGGAATTAAAGGATTAATACCTATGAATGAATAGAATGCCAGTCTCTAAGCTAGTACCTGTAGCTTGAAAGACCAAAAAAAAAAAAAAACCAAATAACCATTTAACTCCCAAGATCTGATGGTTAATTCTCCTCTTTAGCAGTTTCACAATTCCTTGCAATTTTCTCGTAATTTAGTTCCTTCTACCTGTCATAAGTTTGAGTGTTCTCATTACCTTTTTATTGAGTAATGTATGGTTATTACAGGGAGGAGTTAAATGTTAATCACTTTTGGAATTCAAAAGTTTAATTGCTTTGACTTTGGTGAGCTAATTTGTGTCTTTGGTTATCCTAAGACAACAAAAATCTCGGATAATTTGTAGGAAATAGGGCTTCTTAGTTTGTGAAGTATAGCATGAGGTGTGTAGCCTGCAAAATAGACAGGATATATGGGTTTTTCATATGTTTTGGGATGTAAATGTATCATTCAGGGCCATGATTTCCCTTTCTAGAGTTGAAGTCATTTTAAACAAGTCCTAGCAGTTACCAACAGTTACTCTTGCCAAGCAATGAGATAAATGGGTATTAAAGAAACTGGTATTTTCAAGTGCATGTTAATAGGCATCTTGAAAAAAGTATTATTGGCAATAATTTTTGGCCTTGTTCTTCTTTTGCAGCACAAAAGTAATCAATACACCAAAGAAAGGTGAGATTTTGAATAAATATTATTCCTGTTTCTTTATCATGACAAATTTTCCAAAAAAACCTCAGAGCTATCTTTGCATGCTATGCAATCATGTCATTACAATATATATATATATAAAAGTAGTGTGACACATGAGGACGGACAACTTTGAGCGAAGGAAGACATATACTCAATAAAAAGTCTAAAAAGTTTAATAAAACACGTTTCGGTCCAAGACCTTCATCAGTTGTAACTGATGAAGGTCTCGGACCGAAACGCTTTTTATTAAACTTTTTAGACTTTTTATTGAGTATATGGCTTCCTTCGATTGAAGTTGTCCGTCCTTGTGTGCCACACTACGTCTCCTACCATTTATCGAGGTTTGGACTCTGAATTCTTTTGGATCCTTCTGGCACATAGTCACTGTTGGCTTGGGGCCTTTTTAACTTGTTATATATATATATATATATATATATATATATATAAATATATAATTATATTGATATAACTATAATGTCATTTCTAGGAAGTAAAAAGGTTTTCAAGAATTATAAGGTAATGGCTGCCATGAAAAGACAAATTAGATCTGGTCCAGGAGCAAAGGTTTCAAGTGGACCCAGTAAAACCCTCAGGTATAGTACATGTATATGTACATACAGATGTAAGAAGTAATTTTGGAATGTGAAAACTAACTAATATGCCTGAAATTTGTTGTAAGTTGAGTTTGAGTGTGTACCTTTGAGTTAACTGTGGTATCTGTAATTGTTGGGAATTGTTTATTCTCTCCTCTTTACTCTTCTCATTACATTTCCTTTGGTGTAGACTAGGAGAATTTGTTTAACAATCAAAGCTTCTTAGGTTGGAGATCATTTGCTTTGTTCTCATGATCTTAATGAATGATTTATAGTACAGAGAAATTAGATTCTGATCGCTCTTTGGGTTGAAAGGGCTAACAAATGTGTGATTAACAAAAACTTCTTTTGTAACTTGTATGATGTGATAATTTTCAAAATTGTAGTTACATTGTACTCAGTTCTACAATATATCTCTGTTAAACTGGGGAGAAACTTAACTTGTGTGTTATGGGGGACTAACAACAAGCCAAAGCTTGGAAAGCAATAAGAGTTAAGATTGCAGTGGCGAAGCAAACAATAACTTTTTGTCTTACTCTTGTGAAATCTATGGGGAGTTGCATTTGGCAACAAACTTAATGCTGTAACTGGATTGTGTTTACACAGCAGAAACTGGGAAAATTCTCAGGCCAGTATTAAGATTTGTGCGGCAAAGTGTTATTGGCTTAAAGTGCATATGACACGAAATGTTTTTCTCTTGTTTCTTGTAGTTGGATATCTAAAGAAAACGTTTCGAAGCTTTAAAAGAGCTGGAAAAATGTAAACAGCATTTTTTTTCTTTCAAAATACGCGCAATTTGCCTTCAAATTTGTCCCAGAGACTGGGACTTAGTTTATTGCCGTAGAAGTTATTCACGACGTCACATTGTGTACCTTTGCTGCTAAGGTCTGTTGTCACTGAGACGATTCTGCAGTACTTCGTAGTAGATAGATAGCGCATTGAAAGGCAAAGATGTCCAGTGATTCTAATGATTCCTTTGAGTCCAACTCTTCTGAATGTTCCATAGACTTCGAAGAATCTGGGTACACAATGTGATATCACGTGCAATTTTGGCCGCATGATGACTGGGACAAATTTGAAGGCAAATTGCGCATATTTTGAAAGAAAAAATGCTTTTTAGACTTTTCCAGCACTTTTAAGGCTTAGAACGTTTTCTATAGATATCCAACCACAAGAAACAAGAGAAAAAAAAATTTGTGTCATATGCACTTTAAGCCATATTTTTTTAATTGTTCTATGGTTTATTATCTTTGTACATTGCACTATACCATGCTATATTTTTTGATGGAAACCCTAATCTTGTCCACTTTTGTTAACAGGGAGAGAGTGATTCATTTATTAGCAATTAGACCTTACAAGAAACCAGAATTAATATCTAGACTCACTAAAGGTTAGTAGAGTTTGATGAGAAGGTTCTAGGTTTTCACTTGAAAAGAATGGAATTTCAAAATCCATAGGTTGACCTCTTGTAATTATAACCCAAAGACAGTGTAGACTTACTCATTGTCAAGATTTTGAAGTAATCTCTGCATGTACATTCGCTTTGAATTGTTGTCTGTCAGTAAAACAAAGGGCAATTTTTGTTTTGTCAAAATTTTTCCATAATTTAAGTCGATGTAGTTTGACAAAATTACCTTCATTTTTCAGAAGGAGGGAATTTAAAAGACAGAAATTCATTAACAGGAATATTACAACAGGTAAATAGATTTGGTAACGCATGAGTGAAACTAGTGTTCATGTGAAATCTCGAAGTATTATGGTAATAACTTGAGTATTCTCACTTAGCTACTGTTAATATGATTTATATTTGAGGAAGTTGAATTACAATTTGTTACTTTCTTACTTGTCAGAAAGGAAATTTCCCCTTTTGATTGCTACCTCAGAAAATTTATACAGCCATTCATTAATCTAAATTTATGACACCCTGTCAAATATTTAACCACATGAATAATTTATGCTTACAAAGTTATATTCCATTAAGCACAAGATACATGTTTTGGTTCAGTTTCATCTCTAGTTAAAAACGGGATTTTATTTCTATTGAATAAGTGACGTGCAATGGATTATGTTATACTCAATAACCCTTGTTACATAAAAGAGCAGTTGTTCTGTGATTGATAATGTCTTCTCCTCTGTGGATTTACAGGTTGCTGTTATGACTGACAATCAATACAAACTATTAAAGCATTTGTACTCTGAAGTTCAGGTACTACAAACATTTTCTTTTGTCTTATGACTCAGACTGGTGGTAATCGATGCTCTAATGCAAACTTTGTAAATGTTATTTACTTAGGACTTCATTCAGAATGAAAACCAGTGAAAAATAAGTAATTTGGGGTGTGCTTTTAGGCTTTAGGCCCTATCATTTCCTACAATTTTCAACACACAATTTTTTTTTTCTTAATTGTAATTAGACATGACATGACACTTAGCATAATGACGCACTACCCACAAATAGCAGAGCTAGTCTCGGCGAGTAGTGTGTGGACGCTAAAACATCTAAACATCGGCTCAACAAAAGATTCAATAAAATTAATATACAAGAAACAGAAATTAAATATTAAATCAGTAAAGCACAAATAACAGTATGAGATGAAAATACAGAAACAGAAACACATGACAATAAATAGAAGAATACATAAGTTATACACTACTATTAACTGGATTTAACTTTCGACACATCATTGATTATTCGTTCTACGTCGACATAACTATCCTGAACTTGAAGATTTTGAAATAATATTGTGGTGATCATTTTCTTGAAAATATGTTTTAGGAAGATTCCTTAAGTTTCCTGGGATGCTATTCCAAATTTTACAACCAATCCTTGAGAATGAGTTTTTATGTTGATTTAGTCTAGAATAGTTTATGTAATAGTTACCCCCCAGATGAAGATCGGGTATTATGATTGTGTATTTGGTGGGAAAGAGTGAACAAGTTTACATAGCAAAGTCGCACCTGTTTGAGCCTGACTTATTCTAAATTATTCAACTCCTTATAGTATTTATATTGCCCACTTCTTCCTAAACATATCTACATTATTATTTTATATATATATTTTTCAGTGTCATACTTTAATTTGACTGATTATTTTTAGTCAAAGTCAAGTCAAACACACGATGATTCTTGTTCAAGGACATTTTTTCCAGTTGTTCACATGGAATCAGACTTCGTGCATGGGTTGTTTTAAGATTTAAAATTGAAGGGCACAAGGGTTTTAGCTAGGAGAGAAAATGTACAGTTAGCACGCCTAAGAATTTGCATCTCGAGCAAGCTTTGATGCGGTTTTGCTGTGAAATGCATGTTGATCGAAATACTGTACATGATGATTTAGACAGAAAAGGAATACGTTCTGCCTTAAGAAGGGAGTTAAAACATTTGGGATGAACTTTCAAAGGTGGGGAGGAACATTTTTTTACTTCAAATGTCAAACTTGTAAAGGTGGTACAAGGTGAACTTGCAGTGGGGCAAAACCTTCATAATCCCATCAGAAGAATAATTTGTTCTTGTTTGCTAATGTTCGTACACATTGATGCATTGATTGACATTTCTTTTCTAGGTCGAAACGTGGCCTAGTTATAGTGAAACTGAAAAGCAGGTTTTACGCAGGTGAGAGGAGTAAAAATCTCGCAACACACTTTCCTGCTAGACCTACTTTCCAGTGAAATTTATTGCTATTTTCGTTATGTTTGTTTATTTGTTGTGTTGTTTTGTTATGTTTTTTTCAGTCCGAATCATCAGTTTGCTGACAATTGACGCTAATTTTTTCTTTACGCCTCTCTGTTACCATTTTAATTATTTGATTTGATTTTGCAGAAAAATAAAAACTGAACTGAATGATAGCTCTACAGTAACCTCTTTTTCTCCATCAAAGACAAAGAACTTGGAGGTATTGTACATGATAAACATTTAAAAGCGTCAAGTAACTGCATATTACTACTATTTTCGTTTCGTTCATAGCGTGATTTTTCAGTGGATAGATAAAAACACCTCATGCGACAGGCTGTTAATGCTCTTGCATCAGGCAATGAAATTTCAAAGTTGTAATTTATGAGATGTAATATTTCTTTTTAACTTTTACGCAGACAAACAAACCACAGTGTAAGAGGCTACGCCAGAATGAAGCGGAACATTCAGTCAAGAGACCACGCATTGCTCATATTAAAAACAACAATAATATCATCAAAGGCTCTCTAGACAAAGACTCATTTCAGGAAGAAAAATCAAAATTTACAGTGGAAAAGGAAAGAGAGAGTGTAGAGGAATCTGTGCTAGACAAAAAAGACGACGAAGACGACGAAGAAGAAGAAGCAATTTCTGCAGGTATTAATTGAGCAGTTTAAAGTGAATGAAACTTTTATCCCAGAGTTTTGCTCCAGTTGATGTAAAAAGAAGTGCGTTTTGAGGAAATGCACCCTCAACTTGATCTGTCTTACCTGTAGAAATTAGTTAGTTCCCCCAATACGCACGTTGTGGTAAGTCGTGTCATTTTGGTGGGGAAATGCTAACGTTCCGTCTGTCTTTCTACCACAAGTTTTCATCGGAATGGCTCAGTCGGCAAAGCTTTCTCGTAAGCTTCTGTGGTTTAGTGTTTTCTGAAAATTGTTGGAAAAGGACTTCTAACCCTTTGGTTGAAGTCAAAGCCTGCCAGAACTCCCTGCAGTTGCCTTCTGCGTCTCTGTTCGTGGAATGAGAGCTTTAAATTCCCATTCTACTGTAAATATTTTGAACCTACGGCATTCACGATCAAGAAGGCTTCACTTTATTTTATTCCTATATGATAGTGTTCGTTTAGCTTTGCTTTTTCTTTTTCTTTAAGAAAACTCACTCAATGGTTTGAATGGATTGGATTCTCCTGATTTCATGAGGTAAGTTAGCGGACATGGTCTGGTTTTTTTTCTTTTTTTTTTTTTTTTTTTTTATAAGATAGTTACTGTATGTAGTACAAAACGAAGACCAAGGGGAAATACTTTTGCCACAAACATGCACGTCGGTCCAAAATAACCAGGCACTGTTCGAGAAATGAGTCCACGTCTCTTCCACTAACACCGCCACAACTGGTCAGATTTCAACAGTTAAATACTTGAATTAACTTATTGTAATAGAGCTCCAGTATCCAGGAACACAGTATCAAGTGTAAACACTGTACATGTACGTTAAATATTTTTATCGAGCCAAGCAGTTTATTCAAATCTTTTTTTTAAGAAAATACAAACCAATCACCACATATGAACAGCGCTGTTTGTACAAGAAAGACTTCAATGCAGAGTTGCCCGAGTACGAGTCGTTGAAAGCAAAGGTAGACTCGATGAAAAAGAAAATCCATGATCTTCAAAGCAAAAGACTCCAGTTTCCCGAGGGTACAGCAGAAAGAGAGGTCAGTAGGTGTGACTCGTGTCGAGATCAACAGAATTTAAAGGAATCGTAACGTGCGAGTTGTCAAGCAGAGTAGCTATACCAGATAGCGTTACACGTAGGTCGCCAATTAGGGCTTTATCTCCCTTTTATGAGTTGATTGTGGTAAACCAGGACAAAAATGACTAAAACTTCAAAGGATGGTGTTTAAAATTTCTCCCAGATTAGAATGTTGTCCTTAAAGATTTAAATATAAGCACAATGTGAGAATTAAGTCCTTTTTGATCTTCATGGTATTTTCTGAGGGTGGCTTTTGTTTTATCTTTCCCTCTTTGCAGGCCTTAGACAAAAAGATTCGTGAACATTACCATGAGATGAAAAAGGTGAGATATATGGCTTACATTTAGCTAGCAATACTTGTCTTTGGCTTTTAAAGTAACTTTCAAAAGTATTTTTGATAAAGGGACATCGTTAGTCACACTAGTTTTTTTTGTCCTCTTTGTGTTTGTCCAATCAAGAGCAAGGCACCCACAATAAAAAGATTCCTTGCCCCGCCCTGCAAACCAAGCGACATTTGGGGCGACTTTGCCCGCGTTAAGTGACAGTCGTGAACGAAAACGAAATGCCGAAGGCCGCGTCACATACGGGTCTTCGCTCATTGCCATTCAGGCAGGATTAAGATACCGAACTGACCGTCTGTTTTGTTTCTAGGATCCCAGATGGCTTCCAGCTACTAAAAGGTGTCAAGAGCTGCATCAAAAACTATCTTATATCAAGAGACTCATTGCCGATTACGATAAGAGTGCGGCAAACACGTGACGATCACCCGACTGTCACGTAAATATTTGGAACCACTCTCCATCTCGTTTGACTGTTTCGTCCCTAAAGCATCTCTCTTATTCGATGGCATTAGCAGCAAGTGAATGTACAGGGTTGGTGTAACGTGTGTTCAGGACAAAGAATGCAGAACTGGACAAGGGCTCGCTGAGGATCATCTTGGCTTGTACTTATCCGGTCATGCGCTTTGAACTGTTTATTTCTTAGATGCTTAAGTTGCTAAGCTGTCTTGTTCAATCGTCGTGCACTCATTTGGATTATTATTATTATTATTATTATTATTATTATTATTATTATTATTATTATTATTATTATTATTATTATTATTATTATTATTATCATAGTAGACCAACAGGATGATCTTTTTCCGGGTTGTTTCCTAAGGGAGCGAGTCATAGTCCATGACCAGGGGTCCCTTAGGATTTTCTCTTTACTCTAGGTATCTAACACCTTTCTCAAAATCCCCGCTGTTCCCAGTAACGTAGTCTTCTGAAGTAACGGAATACTAATTTTGACGTTCAACTTTCCCAACCACTTGTCCAAGTTTTTTGTTACACTTCCCAATGATCCTACAATTATTATTATTATTATTATTATTGAAAAGAGGCAGGTCAAACGATAGCGCTCCGTGCTTAAACTAATTCTCCGCCCCCTCGCCTCCCTCTGTACACCGCCCCTTCCCACCATCCCCTCCCTCTGTACACCGCCCCTTCCCACCATCCCCTCCCTCTGCACACCTGCTACGCAGGGTGATCTAGGCACCGGTGTTCTTGCAATCAAAGAAGAGGACAGCTGAGCATCGATTGCACAAAGAATCAGAAACATTTCACAGTTTGTTCTAATCGTAACAAGCAAAAGTAAAAAATTATTTAAACTTTGCACTGTAAATTTCTACATCGCAGAGAGATAGCAAATATGATGAAATCTTTTCCTCAATTTCTTAAGTCTAACTTAAAAGTAGAAAGTGCTATATCTACCGATAGACCACTTTCATAAATGGCTGCCGGATTAATATTCTTTTACGTATGATGCACGATCCTCGCGGTAGAGAGCGCTATTTATGCAATAGCGAAAATCAGACCTGTACGGGATTCGAACCACTGACCTCTGCGATACTCGTGCAGCGCT